ACCTTAGAAATGCAGCTCGGGATCATATAAACAACTTTATTATTGAACTGTGTGCGGCGTTGTTATTCGCTGATTGTTTGTCTACTAGACTCTTCAATCATAGTTTTCGATAAAATGTTGCTTATAGAAATCGTAAACTGTTCATATTTCAACTGATAACGCGCTTATCTCACCAAAGTGCAAACCGTCAAACTAACAATTTTTGCATATCTAGTTTAATTTCTAGAAATTTTATTTTGTATAGGCAACCAAATACACACTAAACTAATCATTTTTTGTTTGTTTTAGTGTACGACAAAGGTGAAGCGAGAGGAAACTCTTGTTACCGATTATTATCACGGACAGGACAGTTTATCTACCTACGGACGTATGGTTTCCTCGAAATTGACTCAACAGGCATCGTAAAGAGTTTCATTTGTGTAAATAAACTCGTCACGGAGAAAGAAGGCGTCAAACTCATCACCGAAATGAAGCAACGATATTCTCCGTTGGTAAAATCCTCCCCACCTCAATTACAAGTAAGTTTTGTTAGTGTTGATAAGAATATTTGATGATTTATCGAATAATTCTTTATAGTTGACAAATGAAGAAGCGACTGGAAGTGTAGAAGATCCTATGGAGTTAGAGGAGGCAATCGCGACGTTATTGTCGAACTTACCGTCCCCGGATTCGGAAACCTCCGATCAAACAACGCATGCGTCTAGCGATGGTTTGCGCGATTGTCCGTCAACACCATCCGCTGGCAGCATGTCGCCATGCGATACCTCGTCAAACGCGTCCTCTCACCCACCGTTACCACCACCGTCAACAGGCAAAACCATACCGAAGCGCCCGCCTAGCGTTGACCCAACAGCGCCGCACAAACGCATCAAAATCGAAGCGCCAGTGCAGGTGACGTCGCCGGCGGCGTACAACCATCGGCAACAGCGGCCATTTAACGGCTACACCGATGAGCATAGGTGATTCTCGCTGCGTTGAGTTTCATACATTTCATTAGGTTTCGGTCGAATACGACATAACACAAAATGGCGGACCGCGGGCGCCGAGACAAAGTGAGAGAGAGACGATTGTGTAAAGATTGTAAACAGTGTGTGCGTGTATATTGTGCGTGCACTCACTTTGTTGTCTGCAAATCTGTATTGGTGCCATTTATTTCTATGAGACTGAGACAATTTTCGGAAGACGTGAAGGAGGAGGAATTACCTATTACTTCAAACAAAATAAGACTGGAAAATTTATTCATTACTACCGGATGAACTTATCAGATTATATACGATTCAGAATTTTAATGCGAGATGCAAGCAAACACAAATACTCTGGCGGTAATTATTTTATTGGTAAGAAAATACGATTAGGATGATATACCAAAGATAGAAATTTAAAAAAGCGGACGCAGGAATGTATTACTATTGGCATTTACAAATCGCGAACGGAAAGATTGAATCGTAACTTGCTCAAAAACAATAATAGCACGCGGAAGTCGTTTCGTAATCGATGTTTGATTCGGTGTGTGTACACATTTCAACTTTCAACTTGTAATACGTACTTTAATGACATTACTCAAAGCCACTAAACCCGATATTTCTATATATCCGAGAGCAGACCAATACAATCGTCAATGGAAAACGACCTTTATTTCACAGACAAACAATACAAATCATGCGAATGATTGTTTACGAACTGTAATCCCCCAACGCAAAACAAGAAATGAATTTATATGCTGATAAATATGAATATGATAAATATGTAAATACGATTATTGTACTATCTATTGTATAACTTATTAATTTAGTGTATCTGTGATGAATATTCTTTTTACTAGCGCATAGGTTTTATATAGTTTTAGCCACACCTCCCCCGCGCGCATTATCATCGATATCCGAAGATGTCGGTGTTTTGATTATTACTGTAATTACGTTTTAAATTGATTCATGTTTTTGTTACATAGTACAAATTAATGTTTACGAATGATTGCCGGATAATATGCAGAGGAAGCGAGCGTATGTTTGTATAATTTTTTGTTATGTACAAAATCATTTTTACATAGAACATGTTCAATGTAGACCAACAATATCTTAACAATCTTATTCACTATATTTATGTACTAACTAGATTTTGCAGCCGGGCGCGCCACTCCGGATAACTGCAACCCAAAAAAACTATAAATGAAAAAACGACTGATTAAAAACAAAACTAAATTTAATGAGAAAAAGACAATGAATTTTTGTAAACGTTTACATGCACATCGACGAACGCTACGTACGAAAACAATTCGACATTTTACTATAATAAGCATTGGAGTTGCACTTATCCGAGCGGCTTTCATTGGTTACTAGCAATTTATTCACTGAGTACCTTTAAATAGAAATAGATTTAATACTTTTTTTTGATTTTCCTACAACTACTTATTTATGTAACAATGAAAAGATACTTCTTGGTAGATTTAATTCGATACAATTCATGCAGAGTGTTGTTTTACACATTCAAAAACAATACGAAACAAAAACTAAAGGCAAAAAGTGTATACAAATAAAAATACAAGTTGAAAATCTGTAATATTTGTTTGTAAAACAACGGAATAAACCAATTTTTATTTACTTAACCTAAGACACAAAGAAAAGATCCGCCATTTTGCAATTGTATCTATTAATCAACGCCACCCTGTATATATGTGTGTGTGTGATGTGTGAGTAATGTATATTTTATACATGTTGTTATTCTTATACTTATTCTGTATACTGTATACATGTGTACATAAGTTTTATTGATCAAACTGAAAAGGTTGTGTTAGTTTACAACGCAAGTGATTAATTAATATAAAATATGATAATGTTGGATGAAAGGATCTTGGAATAAGTTTGCCAGTCAAATTATTCATCATTCATTGAACTGCAATATGAATTCGTTTGATTTTTCAATGTAAATGAATTCTTATTGTAGCACAATATCCTTGATTGTTGATGATGATGGTTGATGATTCAACAAAATAGAATTTAATCAATTTAATACTATCGACTATAAAAAATATCGAACTCAGACAAATATTACTTTATTTTAACATTGTATTTTTGCTCGCACGAATCGCCAATGGCAACCTGCTGCCTCCTCCTCTCGCCTCTTTCACCTTGACTAGCTGATTCTGATCGCGTGTCTCTGCGCTGCGCAGGTAATAAAAGATATGTGGAGAACGTGTTAAATTATATGCATTTTATAGTTTATATACCGAGTCGGAAGACGCAGGTCGCCATTGTCACGGCGCTGTAAATAGAGCAGCATCATGCTTAAATATGTTACATTATACATTTGAATGTTTTCTTGTTTTTGGTAATCTTATAATTACGCTCTCCTGTTAGTTTATTCCAATTTTCTCTTGCTTCGCGCATTCTGTAATCATGTAAGTAAAATTATTTTTTAATCTTTATCTCTTATTATTGCACTATGTACTCTGATTCTACTCTATATAGATATCTTCGATCGGGTAAGCAGTCTCTATAAACTTTTGATAGAACCTTTGGAAGGCACGCCTGGAATTAAAACAACGTCGATGTTTTTTAATGTTTTTAAGTTTTTTTAGAGAAGATTGATTACTCACCCAACTCCTTCAGCAACTGGTCGCGTCGAATCCGTGCCCCTAAACACGTGGCAAGCGAATCTTTGAAGTGTAGGATGTTTGGTGATGAAACCAAGATAGCGGTGATCGCGAGGATGAAATGCGCAGAACGAGACGTTCTTGAGCGAGTAGAAGTAGTCTATACATGGATTATCAGACTGCAAATATCATAAATCATTAATAATCTTTTAGGAAAACATATACAATGCAACATACATTTCTTTTTCGTCTATCTACCATGCGTAAACCTTGATCGGACACTTCCAAGATACATGGCTGCGGTTCCGGTTCAGTACCACTATTACCAACCACACGCCGCACGGCCTGACACACCACCGACGTCCCCTTGTGAGCAAGTGTCTCCACCGAACCTAAATACCCCAACAAATAACGCTCGCGTCTGCCATGTTCGCAGGACGAGTCCCAATCGCTGTAGTCACTGTCGACAGCATACGCAGATGGAAATATACCCATTCTACCAGTGCGTAGATTAACACCCTCACACCATAAATCATCAGCTTCTTTTTGAACATAAATCGGATCGCCAATCTCCACATCGATTTCATCTTCGTGCCGCGGAATAAACTTGTGCAAACCACGATGCGTCGCTTCTAACATGTCTACATCGCTGTAGGGCACACCGCCGCCTGTACCCGGAGACATCCCCAGTAATGGGGACATAGATTTTGGACCATCTGTGGGCGAGTGTGCTGTGCTGTGCCCACTGTCGGCGTCTGTCAGTAGACGATCTGAATCCGGCGAGTCGCTGTCCCACAGGTGACATTTCAATACAAGCAAGGAACTGGGACCACTGCTGCCTGACCCACAACCACCCAATTCATCAGCAAGCGATAACTCACGGGATAACTGGTGTGCGTTTATAAGAGACACAACCGCAGCTAAAATTTTTCAGGATCATAAAAATTTTTATCACTACGAAGTAAATAACTTACGTTTTTGTTTTGGGAATCTCGGGTAGTTTTCTTCTCCGTCGCTCGCCTGGCCCGGTCCAGGGCACAGCAGCCCGTGGCCCTTGCGCATTCTCCTGCTGCCTGCTGACTCCTTGCGTATCACAGTCTGTTTCCGGGTCGCTCTTGGAAGACGTCGGCGACTCCTCGTCCACCAAGACATCGTGCACTAATCTAAAATATTCGCGCGGGTCAAAGCAATATGAATAAACCATTCGTGGATACACAAATCCTGTCATAAATGACAGGACTCTTCCGCAGCACTCTGGCAGGATCTCTTTTCGCACACATCAATAATCGCAGTACTCACGAGTAAAATGGAGCCGCCTGTTTGCTGGTCGTGTGTAGTGTCCTCTCAAAACTATGTCCGAATTCTTCGAACTCGCTATCTGCCATGTTTATGTTGTTTTTTCGCGTGCGTGTGCCTTAAAAGCTAGTATTGATTACAGCGCGCCATGACACGCTGTGCGGCGCATGTGCCAAGGGGGTGGCGGAGAGTGCGCGGCGTGGAACGCGCGCGCTTCTGCAGAACAACTACCCCCGTTCAGGCCTAGGGAAATCCACCCACGCGGAGGGAAGATATCTAGGGCTTTAATTCGTTTAGTCGACGAAATCAAAGTTATCATTCACAGAATGATGCAGAGGAGGTGTATGCATTGAAACAAGATAAATTATGTTATGCGTTACGCCTAGTTAGTTTACAAAGACGCTCTTGATTATCGTGCAGAACCTGCAGTGTCAGAGACGTTTGAATTAAACCAGAAACGGGAACAAGCAACATGCGGGTGGGAATTGTGCAGGATCATTGATGAAACCAATTTGCTCCGAACTTTTCTTCTGGTAGATTAAGTTTTAGGTTGTGTTTTTATGTTTTGTTTTTTATAGGCAACCGATTGTACAAAAAACACTTCAGAAGATGATTTTGTGTTTATATGCTGTCCGAAAATAGAATTTTTGGTCATTCATGACCGCCATTGAGCATCATCAATCAACAATCCGTGAAAAGGGTGAAGTGATACAGTTCATTAGCACACCTCGCCACTCGACCGGCGGGCGCTCGTCTCGATTCAGATAAATGTGGAAATGAAAAGTAGAAAAGGGGAAAACAGAGGTGGAATAAAAATGTGGGTTACGTCGCTTTCTTCTTGCGGTGGGCGCTAAGTAATTGAAACCGTTTTACGTTGGGGTTCGCTCTCGATGAATAAACCATCGACTTTTATTCGCGCACGGAAACTCATCGGCACGTTGCTTAAATAAAATCTCAAGAGAATCTATTACAATTCTTTGTTTGCGTTTAAGACAAACACAAGATTTTTCATTTGAGGCCTGTATTTAAACTTTAATTTAATGAAAAAGAATCCTTTGTAGTTTTTAGTAGTGTAATTTGAAGGTTAGAAATAGTAGCTATTCTTTTTCATGATGCGCAACTGGTGTCATCATTGATCCATTGGAAATTGAAAGCAATGTCAGTGTGAACAATGTCATTGTGTTCTTATATTCTTTGAGTGTCGTATATAAAAAGTATATACAACCTACAAATACACCGTTGGGCCTGATGTAATCGAAACTAAAAATAAATTTCGCCGAGTCGCGCATCCCTCGCGAGAAGAGAAGCGAGGCGGTGAGAATCGCGTAAAACCGTGATTCTGCCAATCATGACCGGGTAAACGTGCGCTGCGCGACTTTGCGTCGTCAAACCCTCTATAAAAGGCCAACCGAGGCCCAGGAAGCGCTTCAGTTGATCGCCATTCGTGTTACACATTCACACCTGATGAAATATTAAAATCAACAACTTAAAATCTGTTAAACAAAAGTGAATAAAAATGAGTTCCGGTAAACCCTTGCTGGGTTTGTGGCTGTACCGCAGCGAAGAGGATTGGAGTTACAAAGAGGACGTGCCCATGCCAGCGGTCAGCACAAAGGTAATCACTGATTGCGCAAAGAAACTCATTTCTCACTACAACGCTCACGCTTTGACTTTGACCACGGCACGCACCATGAAGGCGGCTCCCAAACCTGCTGATCCTAAGGCTCCACCCAAATTGGAAAAGATCTCCGTTATATTTACACTGAAGAACAAAGTTGGCGGATTGGTACGGGCACTTCAGTGCTTTCAAGATTTGGGAATCAACGTAGCACACATTGAATCCAGACCATCCATCACCGAAGACAATCAAGTTGATTTCCTCGTAGATGTAGAATGCGAAGCAAAAAAAGTGGAACAACTCGGGAGACTACTACGTCGGGAAGTGGTCACTATGGTCATCGGGACCTATGGAGATGGAGAAAACGATAAAAGTTTTCCACCACCTACACCATTATCGGCAGCTGCTAGTTTTGGTAACAACAAACTCATCTTCACAATAAAATTTTTGATTTCAAAAAAAATAATTAAAAACAGATTTTGATGAAATGCCGTGGTTTCCCAAGAAGATCTCTGACCTTGATCAAGCACAGAATGTCCTAATGTACGGCAGCGAGCTGGACGCAGATCATCCCGGCTTCAAGGACCCAGTCTATCGGAAGAGACGCGAACACTTTGCTCGCATCGCACACAACTACAAACAGTAAGTACCGCCGGCGTCTTGAAAAACACTCTCACACTTACTCCTTGAGTGAGGATGAATGTATTGATAATTGACGCACGGCTAATGTGATTAATTAGCACCCATCTTGCTACCTTTCAGGGGCCAGCCGATTCCACGCGTGCAATATACCGAGATGGAAACTAAAACCTGGTAATGCATTACGTAATTAAATTAAACCTAATAACTTATTAATTATTACCACTTGAAACGTTTTAAGGGGTATTGTCCTGAATGAATTGTACAAACTGTACCAGAAACACGCGTGTAAAGAATTTTTGGAAAACTGGCCACAGTTGGTTAAGTATTGCGGGTATCGCGAGGATAATATTCCGCAACTGCAAGATGTTAACGCGTTTCTTAAAGAAAGACCGGTTTTCAAATACGACCGGTTGCAGGATATTTAAGTCCGAGGGACTTTTTGTCTGGGCTCGCATTCAGGTTGTTTCACTGCACCCAGTATATTAGACATTCGTCGGATCCATTCTACACTCCTGAACCGTAAGCATTACAATTGTTATAATTGAAATAAGGTGCTAATTATTGTTTAAATTTAGTGATTGTTGTCATGAGTTACTTGGTCACATGCCCCTACTGGCAAATCCTAGTTTTGCACAGTTTTCTCAAGAATTGGGCCTCGCGTCTTTAGGAGCTTCTGACGCAGATGTAGAAAAACTGGCCACGGTATAACTCAATTAAATTCAAGTTGCTTAAGCATTTCATTTGTTTAATTACTTTTGTAGTTGTATTTCTTTACGGTGGAGTTTGGTTTGTGTAAACAAGATGGCGAACTACGTGTATATGGCGCTGGGTTATTAAGTTCTGTTGCGGAACTACAACACGCGTTAGAAACGCCAGAGAAAATCAAACGCTTCGATCCAGAAGTGACATGCCGAGAAGAGTGCATTATCACCGCGTATCAAAACGCCTACTATTATACAGACACATTTGACGAAGCCAAAGAAAAAATGAGGTTAGTTAACCTATAATCACCTCAAAAAAATTAAATTAATTTTTTTAGGACCTTCGCTGGAACGATCCAACGTCCATTTGGCATTCGTTACAACCCATACACGCAAAGCGTAGAAGTCCTAAGCAACGCCCAAAAAATAACAGCTTTGGTTTCTGAGCTACGTGGAGATTTGTGTATCGTAAACGATGCATTAAAGAAAATCTCCGCACGAGACTCAACACTGGACGTTGATAAAATAGCCAACTTGTTACAAGTAGGCCTCAATACTACAGATGGCGCTGAAATGACAAAACCCGACGAGCTATGCTAATCTACCTAACCTCATAACATAACCTTCGATGTGTATTTCCCTGTAGTTGTTCCAAAATATTAGAAGTGTGTAAAAAGTATCGATTCATCAGTCTTTATATCACAAAATATTCACAAAATTAAAACATAACTAATGTCTGGACTTAGGCGTCTCCGCCCAGTGCGGCCATGTAATCAACTCTTCATACAACATTTGACCCGGACTCTCCGTGACAGACAATTGTCTCGAGGCGTATAGCTTATAATCCGGTTGGATGTACGACTCGTTAACCCCCAAGGCGATTAAGTTACGTGCGGCGTTGAGTTGTCTTTGCGGTGGCATATAATTGGTAAAAGTACCAACAAACGCAATACCAATACTCCTCTTATTGTAGAACTTCGTGTGGGACCCTTCGGAGGTCCAACCGCGTCCCTCGTAGACATACCCGTCTCCACCCACGAGGAAGTTGTAACCTATATCCCACCAGTTTTGGGATAACATGTGAAAACGTTGTATGGACTTCACCAACAGCGTGCATGATGATTGGTCTGTACAGTTTTCAGTTGCTGAGTGCCATATGACCACCATAGGTACTGGAGTTGTAAGGTTGTCCAAAGCTTGCTTTGGAGGTTGTGCCAACCACTCACGACGTAGAATCATCTTCACTCGTTGCGGAGGAAGCTCAGCAGGATCTATAATTGGGTAAATATCAACAATGTTGCATTATTTTGATTGAATAATGAGTTAAAGTTTAATGTTGACCCAATGGGGCCATGTTTTGATCTCCTCATACAACGCCCTGCCTGGATTGCGCACCGCGTCCACCTGCCGCGCCCCAATCAGCTTATAATTTGCTTGTAGGTACTTAGCTTCCACCCCGTAATTAATTAACTTCATCAGAGTATCTAGTTGTTCTTTTCCGGGTAGATAATCTTCAAAAGTACCAATTAACGCTATACCAATACTCCTAGAGTTGTAATTGAAGGTGTGTGCACCCTCAGATGTCCATCCCCTTCCAGCATAGACATTACCATCTCCTCCAACAAGGAAATTGTAAGATATATCCCACATTTGTTTGCTATCAATATGATAGGTCTGTAGATATCTCACGAAGAATATACAATCACCGATGGTTGTACAGTTGAGTGTATCCGACTGATGGATGATGACAAAGGGCGTTGGTTGTTTCAGTTGGGGCGCGGGTTTGGCAGGCGGTTGCGCCACCCAATCGGTGCGTGTGACCAAGTTATACGGCAAGGGCGTTTCTATAACGTGCAGGTTATGATTGATGCATGAATACAATTTATATAATCAACACGTAATTGTGTTTTATTACCAAGAGGTGGATCGACTGAAGGTCGGCCGAGTTGTTCGTCGCTATCAGTCGGGTATCTGTTTGATGTGTTGCCACCGCGCAGTAAAAGAAACAACAGCGCAATCATTCCAATGATAGCAAGTGTGCAGACTATCGCTGTTATAAGCAACGGTTTGTTGTATCCTAAAACAAACAAATTTCATTACATCTCGGTTACACTTTGCAAAAATGTGGACATTTTTCTCCTATTTGCTAATTGCGTGTGTAGCCTTTTGTTTTCATTTCAAGTCGAGTTAATTTTAGATTATATTGTCGATGAGTTATGTGCAAATGCAAATATGTGAGTAATAAAACCCAGCAGTCTTTGTGATAATGATAAACAAATTGGTTTCGCGTGTGTGAATTGACGCAGATAATAATTCGGATTATTTCTGTTGACACATGAAGGTAGCTGCTATTATTGCGTGGTGATGATATGGATAATAGAAAAATTTCACAGACAGGAAACAAGATTACAATCTGATATTTTTTATCGCTTAGTTTGTAATTATCGGTTTTGATAAGAACAAATCGCAATAATAAGTTGCGCTGCAAACGTGTTATCGCGCAAATTACCAAAAAAATACAATAAATAAATAATTGCATGCAGTAAACACCATCGTGACTTGAATAGTAATTTATTTATTAATTTTAGCGCTAGTTTTTCGTGGAAGTAGACGGAATGCTCAACTGCTCAGCACACACGTCAGTTAGATCGTTTATTTATGCAAATTCAATGTAAATAAACTGCGAACGCTTAAATTTTTTGTCTACATTGTTAAAATAAGATACGAGAACTCACTTAATTTGCTAATGTGAGCCTTGAGGTTGTTTTCATTTTTGTCTCCGGCTTTGTCCGTTTTGTTATCAATATCTGTACTATCACTTGTGTCTTTATCACATTTTAATGTCCCGTTGGTCAGCGCGCCGCCATTTTGCAGCACGTCCGGCACTTCACCGCCACCATTACCAGCGTATACGATCTTTTTTATCGTCACTGGTCCTTGATAAATGTTCTTTGTCCCCACATGAACATCACTCGAATCCGACACGAAAACATTCGGTGTATTATTGTCATTTCCGGATGGGTTCACTGCAAGGGCATTATCATAGCCCATACTAGGTTCATTCTCATCACTATCACTAGAGCAATCCGAAGATTGTATATAGGTTACGTCTTGTTGTTGATTGAGGTGAACTTTGTGCGGGTGCAGGTCCAGAATGAGGTCGTCCCCGCCCTGGCCGCCATCTTGGGTCGGCGGCCGTACGTCAGGCACTTCCGAGACCATTTAGTCGCCCGCCGCTGCCGCAAACCAGCTTCAGCGAAGCGTGATTAGCTTATTAAAATTATCGAGTGCTATCGCAGCCATGGCGAAAGCGACACTGCGGTTTAGCGAGCCGACAAAATTCCAGTAATCGCTGGTGGGAGGATTGACGCCATCACACACACACGCGCGCACATATACACGCGAGCACCAGTTTCGAGCTCAAGCTAAACCAAGGTCTTGCAATAAACAAGTCACTGGTGATCATAACAATTAATATTTATACAGGTCCTTTTCGTGCACGCAAGTCCACGCTCACTGTTTGTTGCATAAATAAATGCTAATTTTAGTTCGGTCCTGGTTTTACGTAAAATCCCAAGTTCATCATCACAACATCACAAATAACCTCAGATAACCCATAAAGCCTCACTATTTGGTCACAGAATTGACCAGTAAACTCAGTTCGGAATCTCAATATAGTCTTTGTCATAATAATGCTCCCATTTTTCAATTTCACAGCGAATTTTCATTCCGGGACTCATCGTGCCCCCAGTCTGACTGTGACTCAACAATATGTAATCCTCCCGTAGGGCTCCCCACACCAACCCAGTGGTGATAAGCTTCTGCAGCGCCATTTGCATCTTCTTCGTAAACTCATCGTATGAAAAGTTGCCTATGAACGCCACAGCTATACTATGATTCTGCAAATAGTTTATAGCGTTCCAATCTCGTCCCACGTAGATGTTACCATCGCTGCCAATCAAAAAATTGTACCCAATATCAGGGGATCTGTGATCCACCGCATAGCTTTGCAATGATTGCAGAATTCCCGCACAGGTTTCCAGTGAAAAGCAGGGTCTGCTCACGGTGTGTGCGACTATTATATACTTCACTGGTGTTTCCAACAACCGGACGCTAAGCGGAGGTCGTGCACCCCACATTCTTCTTGGAATCATTTGAATTGCCTCGGGATCGAAGGGTAAAGTCTCGTTGTCGTCGTTGTCGTCGCTGGAGGTCGGACACTGGTCGGACATATTTTTATCAATATGTGCCGTTGTGAAGGTAGCATCAGTGCTTGAATCCTGTATGAATATTATCGCAATCGACACGGCAAGTGCGAATGACACCACAGTAATCGCGATTAGGATAATGTTGAATAGTTTTCGACGAGTTTTGAACTGTCTCCATAATGACCATTTATTTGGCGTGCCTGTAATCAGCAACAATAAATACTTCAAGCATAACATAACCAAACTAATAAACTATCTAGTGTACCGTTATTATCTTTTTGTTGATGTTTCGATGTGATAACATGGTTATCACAAGCATTTTCTTTGTGTAGATTCACATCTTTTGATGATGGAAGAGATCCTCTGGAACTATTAATGCTGGAACCGTCTTGTGCGTTTTGAATGATGGTAACCGGACAATGAAAATGTGTGACCGGACCAATGACCACGTCGTTTGAGTTTTCCACAATGTACGTGTTTTGATTGAGCATTAGATCGTCAGCGGCCATTTGAATTTGGTTGTCGTTCGAGAGCACACATCCGGTAGGCTCGTTTGCGATTGTGTACCGATCAACGTTTGAACCGAGATTTGGACTGAGGCACACACTGGGGACGACGTCCGTCGAATACTCGAATGTTCGATCGTCATTTTGGTTCTTGGTGCGTGTGATTTACCAGCAATGTTAACCAGTGCAAAACGCGCGACGATCGCGTGTTATCTGCTGACGCCGTAATTGTGATTCACATCGTAACCGTTCATTACGGATTGAGTTGTGGTAGAATATTTTCAAGTTTTGTGCTAATGTATTCCCCACTCGCGCAAGGATAAAAACTGCGCGTTCGCGTTATATCGTCGCACCTCGGACTCGGGACTCAAATTAACAATTAAAATTTGAGATTCAAATAATACTTTACAGATAAGATATGTTTCTATGTTTATATTGGTTAATGAGCGTTATGAGTATTAGAAAGACCCGGTAGTTATACATTTTGAGTGTAATTGATTATTGAATTATCTATAATACATTGATTTATCGAAATCATGCCATGTATTCTATAATTATACAAAATGGTTGAGATAAAATGTTATTTTAAGCAACAAAATTTCCAAAAAGAGGGAAAATGACAGTGCACAAAAATAATAACAACAATAGGTCACATTTAATTTATTTTTGGAAGGAAGGGTTATAATTAAAATTATATACATAAATAATTAAATTCCTTGAAATTATAATTTAATCTACATGTAATCTACATGTAGGTACATCACACTTGTAACAAAATGTGCCCTAAGTTTATTTGCCGGTTCTATTTACTATATTTTACAAATTAATAATAATTAATTAATTTTTTTATATTATTTAAATAACAGAAAGGAATAATGATCGAGAGATAAATATAACATACAAAAACTATTTATAAATCAAATTGTAGGCAACTCAACATACAGCAGTCATTGCGCACGCTGCAGGCGCAATAGAATGCAATCATGCAGAGGTAGGCACGAGTCGGTCTGTTGGGTTGTTATTCCAGTGATGATTTTGGGATGACTGCGAGACATCACATTTTAATCGGAGCAATTGTATCATACATTGTGTGCAATTTGTCACTTTGATGTTTTGACAAGACTTTATTACACGTGAATATTCGTACAACAGTTTAATTTGTGGTAAGAATCAAATAACTCTTTACCAGATAATCTAATATTTCATCTATCTGATATGAATTTTGTTTTCAATTTGTATTTGTAATAATATTTTCGTATTCAGTGTGTACTGCGGTTCATCAGGCCGCTAAGGTGTTACCCATCACACTCGCAACAGAACCCGACATTACAGGATACAGGTACTTGCATCAAATTATAAATAATAATTTTATTTATTATTTACATTACTATCTTTTGAGATCATTTCCCGCGGATGCCAGAAAAATTTAACTATTGTGTATCAAAGATCAAATTTTAAGAGTTTTCAAGTGAATGCATTTTTGCCGGTTAGTGTTTGCGTCACTCAACATTGGGGATCACACAAGTGGCAATTGAGTTGTGTTCGTTCAAATCATTCAAATGTTGGTAGCTGTAATACAATAGCAAACTCAAAACTAGTATGTGCCGTCAAAATTAGATGGCGCTAGTGTGCACGCTACTTTCTGGCGTCAATTGTTTCGTATTGCCGATATTAGATGGCGCAGTGTCGGCAGCATCTGCGCTTTTGTAAAGGCGCATGTGTTTCATTTGCTTTTCATTTGCTTCTGGCAGCAACTTCATACACTTTGTCGGATTATAAAATCCGAGCCTTTTGGTTCTAATCCCGCGTGAAATCGAAAATTCAGTGGTTTTATCTTTTGCGCGCCTTTATGCCGCCGATTGCCACCCGCTATATCTTTTCAGTGGCTTCGAATTCTTATCGGATTTTTTTGGTCAGCATTATTTAAATATTAATTCGTGGAAAAATCCACGAGTGTTCCCGGTGGTAAGATTGTCAGCACAAAAGTACTAAGAGTGAGTAACAGCATTTCAAGTTGCAGAAGCACATTTGTGTACTTTATGGATTTTTTTTTAAATATCTAGAATATGAAATATAACATGAAAGTCGCGTTTTTTGAGTAAAATCGTGATGTTATCATTTGCTATTTTCTAAAATTGTTAATGTAAAATCGTTAATGTAAAATAGCGCAATTTTTCATTAATTATAATAATCTAAATTCTGGCACACCTACCTGTGTCATTCAGAGATGGCACTAGCATGAACTAAACATCATAAAATAGAATTGTATTCTTTATTTCTATATTTATTGGCAAACGTTGTAATTCGGCACGAAAATTGTGTTTGTTTTGAACACAATTTACTTTCTTATCGCTTCCGCCGCGTTGAATGTTACGCATGAGAGGCCGCGTGGCATCGACGCGCCGGCTTTGCGCATCTCTTGCTTTCTTATCGTAAACTGTCGCGTCGTAGCTTGCTCGGCTACGGCATGCACTATCCGATGGTTGCGCCCAGTTGCGTGCCGGTCACTGGGTGGTTGGGTCGTATTTCTCGCGTCGCGTATCTTTTGTTCGGACCTTTGTTTTCTAAATTTACATTATATTCAATTAGCAAACCACTATTTAATTGTAACTACTAGGTGTAGAGTTGTTAAGTGAATCGGATACATGTTGCCCCCGTGTTGATTTATTCAGCTTAGAACCCATCGTGGAGTATATAAGTAAACAGCACAGATTGTTTGTTTTGTTCGACGTGTAATTATAATATTGTCCAAAATTGAAAAATGTCACTTTTAGTACTTTTGGTGGCGATTTTTACCTTTTACTGTAGGAAATATAATTATTTTATATTTTTATCTGATAGAGAATTTTCCAATATTTCATAATCGGCAATTTCCTGGTTGCTATCTCTTTTAGTTTAAGAGATATTAATTATAGAAAATCGTCGATAAAAATTATTAACTTTCAAGATAGTTAGTTGTCTCTGCCCTCGTTTTTAAGAGTATTAATTCGCGGTAGATTCGATCGGATTGGAGTAAGTATGAGTCTTATCGCCTGTTGCCGCATGCCGTCGCTGCGTACTCGACTTACGCGATGCGCGCGCTTAGGCCTGCACCGGGCGTTCATGGGGTCGGCCACGTTTTTTGCTACTATCGTTTTCGTTGTGAGTTTGGTATTCCTTAAATCGGGTTGAGGTTTTCTTTCGGTAAACTGTATTTTGTGATAATCCACCTCCGATGTTTAGTGATATTGGACGTTCTTGTATGTGTCGTCTGATGGTGTCGTTGTATTCCTGTTCCAGTTGCGCCGGCCGTCATGTTCTGGTTTCAAGGAATTGCGTGGAAGTCGAGAAATAGAGGTAAGTACAGGTTTTCCTCATTTTCCTGTGCTGAAATTGTTGTCTTTGTTGAACTCATCTGGTCGCGCATGCATCGTTCTAGAAGTCTTATTCATACGCGAGCACGCCGGTTTAGAACGATAAGTGATAAGATTTGTTATTGTTATTGTGTTCATTCTTATCTATTTGCATGCGAAATGTTAACAGCGTAACATTTCATGTTCTTTAGATTCTTGTCCACTTTAACGGGCGCCGACTCGCTTTTGGCCGGTTTTTTCGTATGGCTTTGAATTGCAGTTAGGGGGCGCCGTAGTGCTAAAACCGGCACTGTCGTTGCGCTAGGAATAGTAGTTTTTTTTTATTATAACACGCGAACGCGGTCTTACTGTGAGTTTGTAATAATTTTGTTAGATGCGAAATTTAATTCTGTATCTCCCTGTATCGAAATTTATTGCGGGAAAATTCCGTAACGCGAGTTATATTGATAGTTGTGTGTATACGCACTAGTACTCGTTGCGCTTGGAATTGTAGTTTTTTTGATATAACACGCGAACGCGGTGTCATAATAAGGTCGGAATAATTTCCTCAGATGCATAATTTAATTTTGTATCTCCCTGTATCGAAATTTATTGCGGGAAAATTCCGTAACGCGAGTTAATTGATAGTTGTGTGTATACGCACTAGTACTCCTTGCGCTTGGAATTTTAGTTTTTTTGATATAACACGCGAACGCGGTGTCATAATAAGTTCGGAATAATTTTTCCAGATGCAGAATTTGATTTTGTATCTCCCTGTATTGAAAGTTATTGCGAGAAAATTCCGTAACGCGAGTTATATCGATAGTTGTGTGCATACGCATAAGTACTCGTTGCGCTTGTAGTTTTTGATATAACACGCGAACGCGGTGTCATAATAAGTTCGGAATAATTTTTCCAGATGCAGAATTTGATTTTGTATCTCCCTGTATTGAAAGTTATTGCGAGAAAATTCCGTAACGCGAGTTATATCGATAGTTGTGTGTATACGCACTTGTACTCGTTGCGCTTGATATTGTAGTTTTTTTGATATAACACGCGAACGCGGTGTCATAATAAGGTCGGAATAATTTCCTCAGATGCATAATTTAATTTTGTATCTTCCCGTATTAAAATTTATTGCTAGAAAATTGCGTAACGCGAGTTATATTAATATTTGTGTGTATACGCACTAGTACTCGTTGCGCTTGGTATTGTAGTTTTCTTGATATAACACGCGAATGCGGTGTCATAATAAGTTCGGAATAATTTTTCAGATGCAGAATTTGATTTTGTATCTCCCTGTGTTAAATGTTATTGCGAGAAAATTCCGTAACGCGAGTTATATTGATATTTGTGTGTATACGCACTAGTACTCGTTGCGCTTGTAGTTTTTTGATATAACACGCGAATGCGGTGTCATAATAAGTTCGGAATAATTTTTTCAGATGCAGAATTTGATTTTGTATCTCCCTGTGTTAAATTTTATTGCGAGAAAATTCCGTAACGCGAGTTATATTGATATTTGTGTGTATACGCACTTGTACTCGTTGCGCTTGGAATTGTAGTTTTTGATATAACACGCGAACGCAGTGTCATAATAAGTTCGGAATAATTTTTCCAGATGCAGAATTTGATTTTGTATCTCCCTGTATTAAAAGTTATTCCGAGAAAATTCCGTAACGCGAGTTATTTTGATATTTGTGTGTATACGCACTTGTACTCGTTGCGCTTGGAATTGTAGTTTTTGATATAACACGCGAATGCGGTGTCATAATAAGTTCGGAATAATTTCTCAGATGCAGAATTTGATTTTGTATCTCCTGTGTTAAATGTTATTCCGAGAAAATTCCGTAACGCGAGTTATATTGATATTTGTGTGTATACGCACTTGTACTCGTTGCGCTTGGAATTGTAGTTTTTGATATAACACGCGAACGCAGTGTCATAATAAGTTCGGAATAATTTTTCCAGATGCAGAATTTGATTTTGTATCTCCCTGTATTAAAAGTTATTCCGAGAAAATTTCGTGACGCGAGTTATATTAATATTTGTGTGTATACGCACTTATACTCGTTGCGCTTGATATTGTAGTTTTTGATATAACACGCGAACGCGGCGTCACAATTAGTTCGTAATAATTTCCTCAGATGCATAATTTAATTTTGTATCTTCCTGTATTTGAATTTATTGCTAGAAAATTCCGTAACGCGAGTTATATTGATATTTGTGTGTATACGCACTAGTCCTCGTTGCGCTTGATATTGTAGTTTTTGATATAACACGCGAATGCGGTGTCACAATTAGTTCGGAATAATTTCCTCAGATGCATAATTTAATTTTGTATCTTCCTGTATTAGAATTTATTGCTAGAAAATTCCGTAACGCGAGTTATATTGATAGTTGTGTGCATACGCATAAGTACTCGTTGCGCTTGATATTGTAGTTTTTTGCTATAACACGCGAATGCGGTATCATAATAAGTTCGGAATAATTTTTTCAGATGCAGAATTTGATTTTGTATCTCCCTGTATTAAATGTTATTGCGAGAAAAATCCGTAACGCGAGTGATATTGATAGTTGTGGGTATACGCACTAGTACTCGTTGCGCTTGATATTGTAGTTTTTTTGATATAACACGCGAACGCGGTGTCACAATTAGTTCGTAATTATTTCTTCAGATGCATAATTTAATTCTGTATCTTCGTGTATTAAAATTTATTGCGAGAAAATTCCGTAACGCGAGTTATATTGAAAGTTGTGTGTAGCGGCACTAGTACTCGTTGCGCTTGGAATTGTAGTTTTTTTAGTATATATATTGTATATGTATGTATTATATATTGCAGGAATTGTTGATGCATCCCGCGAAAATTTGCATAAAACTGTTGTTTTTCATTGTTTTTCAGAGAAATGTTTTAATTTTATCGGCTTTACACGCGATCTAGGCGGCCAGTGATAGTGTCGAGAGGGTGGATCGGATTGTAATTTGTATTTTTATTGTGGAGACATAGTCTATATGTTATAATATATATATTGGTTAATATAAAAAAAAATTAAATTGTGAGCAATTGTCCGTGTGCGCAATTGTCAATGTGAGCAAAAGTCCCGTGAGCAATTGTATCGGTGAGCAAAAGTCCCTGTGTGCAACTGTCCGTGTGCGCAGTTATGACTGTGGGCCGTTTTCTGTGAGCAGTTGTCGTGTGAGCAATCGTCTTGTGGGCAAATGTCCGGGAACCGTTTTGAATATTTTTAAGTTGATAAATATGCTCAAAGGTTAGATGGCGCTACGATGTACAGTTTTGCATTAAATTTAATATTGCTTGTTGGTGGTAGTGAGTGCACACCGTGTCCGTGTGGATAAGTTTGTTTACAAGCAGGCATCGAATCTTTATTTCGTGGAATCAAAACACACCGTTGCTGTTTATTATATTAGCATCGTAAATTTAAGCAAATATTCTTCAATTCTTTCAAGAATATAACTAACAATTTTATATTAATTCTAATACATTTTTATTATCAGCAGATGATTACGGACTAATGTGTTACCTGGTAAACGAGAAACGATGCATGTTCAAATTAAATATCACTTAAATATTTAATGTAAAATCTCGAATTGTAATTTTTTATTACTTTTACTAATCTAAATTTCGAAACTACTGCATCATTTATAGACAGCAACAGCATGGACTAAAAATTGTAAAATAAACTTGTATTGTTTATTTCTATATTTATCAGCAATCGTGAACCTTCGACACAAGAATTGTGTTTGTTTGAACACAATATACACTTTCTTATCGCATTGCCGTGGGTCGTCGTTGCCAGCACCTCATGCCGCATGTTGCTGCATCTTAGTTTAGATTGGATCCTAGGTTAAGTGCCAAATGCAATTCGCGCACATGGTCGCGAGCCATCGACGCGCCGGCTTTGCGCACCTCTTGCTTTCTTATCATAAACTGCCTCGTCGTTGCTTATACAGTTTGCGGCCAGTTTCGTGCCGGTCTCTGGTTGATTCAGACGTATTTTGTGCGACTCGTATCGTTTATCCGGACTTTTACTTTCCAATTCGTATTATATTTGATCATCAATGGACTATTTAATTTTAACATGACTTTAGTAACTTTAGTACAGTTATTTATTATTTGCGCGTAAGTGTATCGCAGCCATGTTAATTTATTCATCATTTGGATGACCCATCGTGCTGCTGTAAGTAACTTTTAAGTAAACAGCACAGATTGTTTATTTTGTGTTGAATGTTAATTGGGTTTTTGAATTTTTTTTTTTAAAATGGAAAGATCATATATAAGTTTTATAACAAAACAATTTTATTTTTTTTATTTTTCGCAATAATTAAAAAGTTATATCAAAATAAAAATTAATTTTTGAATCCAGTACCGAAGACGCGCCGACAACTCCCGAACAAATCCGAGCGCGTGTGACGTCATAATGTTATTTTTCACTCATAGTAGTATACAGAGACAGAGATAATAAGCACAGTGCTTTGTCGCCGTAACTTTCACGTGATGCTCTAAAATTAATTTAATAGGTAATTATATTCAATAGAAAATTAATACATAAATATTGTGATTTATAATATTTTTTAACAGACTTACCTCGATGCCTTGGCACCTCGAACTTCGGCAGAATTAAACCGAAGGTCATTTTTTAAAAAATTGGTGATCATAAATATATCAACATCAGGAATGTTTATCAGAATTAACTTTAACAAATCTTTTTTTAATAGTAATTTTACAATGTTTTTGTCAAGTTACATATAATAGCCGTAAGCGCTGCACTGTAATATTATTGCTTTAACATTATGACGTCACAAGTATGGTAGCCAATCGTGGTGCGTTCACAGTCACATGATTTTTTTTTTATTTTTATCAATTTTTAATCGTTTATAATTAATTGAAAAAAATTTTTTTTTTTGTTTTTTACATTGCATATCAATAAAATTAATAATTAAGTTTTAAAATACATAAAAAAAATAAATAATTTTTTTTTTCAAATTCCCAATTATAACATAATTCAATTGCATGAAATATTGTTGTTTTAATTTATGTTTTCGTTTAGTTACAGCACTCGTTGTACACGGCTGTCCGATAAGCTGTACCCTGGTAAGTTTATAATTCAATTATATGTTTCGGTCAACTTTACATTTGCTGTATATAAACAAGTTTTCTATTTATTACGTGCTACCTACCTGTGACCCAAATTAGACGACCGACACGGTCGGACACAGTTAGGAGATATTCGCAATTTAAAAAAAGGGGCAAAAAAAGAAAAATTGCATTATTAGTCACGTTTTTGGTCCTTTAATCCCACGAAATTTAGAAGATATTCACTTGCCCATTTTTTTATTAAAAATTAAAATTTCATCTGTCCGATTTCCGTTTAAACTATCCTATCTGATAGAGAATAGTTCGTAGATTAAGTCGCTCCGATCAGATCCTATTTATCTCTTTTAGTTTACGAGATATTCGCGATTGAATAAAATGGGCAAAAATTGATAAATGTCACTTTTTAGCACTTTTAGTCGCGTTTTTTGACCTTTTACTGTAGGAAATATAATTATTTTATATTTTTATCTGATAGAGAATTTTCTAATCTTTCATAATCAACAATTAGTTGGTAGCTATCACTTTTAGTTTAAGAGATATTAATTTTTGAAAAACGTCGAAAAAAAGTATCAAGCACCCCCCCTTGGCAATTTTTTCTTAAGAATGAAAATTTCATCTTTCAGATTTCCCTTTTAACTATCCTATCTGATAGAGAATAGTCCGTAGATTAAGACGCTGCGATCAGATCCTATTTATCTCTTTTAGTTTACGAGATATTCGCGATTGAATAAAATGAGCAAAAATTGATAAATGTCACTTTTAAGCACTTTTAGTCGCGTTTTTTGACCTTTTACTGTAGGAAATATAATTATTTTATATTTTTATCTGATAGAGAATTTTCCAATCTTTCATAATCAACAATTAGTTGGTAGCTATCACTTTTAGTTTAAGAGATATTAATTTTTGAAAAACGTCGAAAAAAAGTATCAAGCACCCCCCTTGGCAATTTTTTCTTAAGAATGAAAATTTCACCTCTCAGATTTCCCTTTTAACTATCCTATCTGATAGAGAATAGTCCGTAGATTCAGACGCTGCGATCAGATCCTATTTATCTCTTTTATTTTACGAGATATTCGCGATTGAATAAAATGGGCAAAATATGATAAATGTCACTTTTTAGTACTTTTAGTCGCGTTTTTCGACCTGTTACTATTGGAAATATTATTGTTTTATACTTTTATCTGATAGGTAATTTTCCAATTTTTCATAGCTTTTAGTTTAAGCGATATTAATCTTTTGGTCGGCTAATTTTGTGGCTTTGAGTGTTTAGCGGGCGAACGCCATGTCGTAGGACAACCGTTCTTTCACCAAATTATAAATATTCAAATTCTTTATAATTTTCATGTATAACTTGTGGGTTTAACCCTTTGGAAACCTACAAAAATGCCCTTTCTGTGTTTTTCTGTCGGCTAATTTTGTGGTTTTTAGTATTTAGCTGGTGAACGCCATGTCGTAGGATAACCGTTCTTTCACCAAATTATATATATTCAAATTCTTTATAATTTTCATCTGTAATTTGTGGGTTTATCCTTCGGGAAACCTACGAAAATGCCCTTTTTGTGTTTGTTTTAGGTCGGCAAATTTTGTTATTTTTAGTGTTTAGCGGGCGAACGCTATACCGTAAGATAACCGTTCTTTCACCAAATTATAGACATTCAAATTCTTTATAATTTTCATGTATAATTTGTGGGTTTATCCCTCGTAAAACCTTGGAAAATGCCATGTTTGTGTCTTTCGGTCGGCTAGTTTTATGGGTTTCAGTGTTTAGCGGGCGAACGCGATATCGTAGGACAACCATTCTTTTAATAAATTATAGATATTAAAATTCTTTATAATTTTCATATATAACTTGTGGGTTTAACCATCGGGAAACCTACAAAAATGCCCTTTTTGTGTTTTTCGGTCGGCTAATTTTGTGGTTTTTAGTGTTTAGCGGGCGAACGCCACGTCGTAGGATAACCGTTCTTTCACCATATTATAGATATTCAAATTCTTTATAAATTTCAGGTATAGTTTGTGAGTTTATCCCTCGGGAAACCTGCAGAAATGCCCTTTTTGTGTTTTTCAGTCGGTTAATTTTGGGGTTTTTAGTATTTAGCTGATGTACGCTATGTCGTAGGATCACCGTTTTTTCACGAAATTATAGATATTCAATTTCTTTATAATTTTCATGTATAATTTGTGGGTTTATCCCTCGGGAAACCTACGAAAATGCCATTTTTGTGACTTTCGGTCGGCTAATTTTGTGGCTTTCAGTGTTTAGCGGGCGAACGCCATGTCGTAGGATAACCGTTTCTTTACCAAATTATAGATATTCAAATTCTTTATAATTTTCATGTATAATTTGTGAGTTTATCCCTCGGGAAACTTTCAGAAATGCCCTTTTTGTGTTTTTCGGTTGGCTAATTTTGTTGTTTTTAGTATTTAGCTGATGTACGCCATGTCGTAGGATCACCGTTTTTTCACCAAATTATAGATATTCAATTTCTTTATAATTTTCATGTATAATTTGAGGGTTTATCCCTCGAGAAACCTATGAAAATGCCATTTTGTGTCTTTAGGTCGGCTAATTTTGTGACTTTCAGTATTTAGCGGGCGAACGCCATGTCATAGGATAACCGTTTCTTCACCAAATTATAGATATTCAAATTCTTTATAATTTTCATATATAATTTGTGGGTTTAACTCTTGGGAAACCTACAAAAATGCCCCTTTTGTGTTTTTCGGTCGACTAATTTTGTGGTTTTTAGTGTTTAGCGGGCGAACGCCAATCGTAGGATAACTGTTCTTTCGCCAAATTATAGATATTCAAATTCTTTATAATTTCCATGTATAATATGTGGGTTTATCCAACGGAAAACTTATAAAAATGCGCTTTTTATGTTTTTTGATCGGCTAATTTTGTGGTTTTTAGTATTTAGCGGGCGAACGCCATGTCGTAGGACAACCGTTCTTTCACTAAATTATAGATATTTAAATTATTAATAGTTCTCATATATAATTTGTGGGTTTATCCCTCGGGAAACCTAAAAAAATGCCCTTTTTATGTTTTTTGGTCGGCTAATTTTGTGATTTTTAGTATTTAGCTCTGGAACGCCATGTCGTGGGACAACCGTTCTCTCACTAAATTATAGATACTTAAATTCTTTTTAATTTTCATGTATAATATGTGGGTTTATCCCTGGGGAAACCTACAAAAATGCTCTTTTTGTCTTTTTCGGTTGTCTAATTTTGTGGTTTTTAGTGTTTAGCGGGCGAACGCCATGTCATAGGACAACCATTCTTCCACCAAATTATAGATATTTAAATTATTTATAATTCTCATACATAACACGGCTCAACAAAAAAAAATATTTTTTGCCTAAAGTTTATTTTATGATTTTTGGGTTAATTATGCGCAACAACTACCAGCGAATACCTCATTTTAGTATAAAGTTTGCTTTTGTGATATCTGTAGTAATAATACTCATTTTCAAATCTACTATATAAAAATAAGACGGCTTTTCCTTCCTGTCGCTATAACTCCAGAACGCACCAACCGATTTTCACGGTTTTGCATTTGTTGGATAGGTCTCGGGCTCAGAGAGATATATAACAAAGAAAATGGTAGAAAAATTCGAATAGAAAAGCGGGAAAGCACCAGGAAAAGCACCTGGAGGAACAGGGAAAACATTTGTCATTTTATTGATTTTGTTATTGTAGAAATTAGTCGTAATTATTTCTACATGTTAGGTTGGTATCGAGGAGAGAAAAGATTTGATGAAACAATTCGTTAAACAGTTTGGCAATACCTCAGAAGCTTTTACTTATTTGAAAATTTTTTTTCCCAAGTTATCTGAAGCAAAAGTTAAAGCTGGAATTTTTGTTGGTCCGCAAATTAGGCAAATTTACGCCGATGAAAAATTTTCAAAATTGCTGAATCACACCCAAAAAGCAAGTTGGAACAGTTTTAAAGTAGTAGTAACTGGATTCTTAGGAAATAACAAAGCTAAAACTACGAAAAATTAGTTGAAAACATGTTGAAAAATTTTAAGGCCATGGGATGTCTTGCTGGATGTCTTTGAAAGTACATTTGCTTCATCCGCACTTAGATAAGTTCAAAAATAACATGGGGGCATATTCCGAAGAGCAAGGAGAACGTTTTCATCAGGACATCATGCACTTCAAACAACGATATCAAGGCCAATATAATGAAAATATGATGGGAGACTATATCTGGGGTTTATTGAGAGAAAACAGTTATGATCATAAAAAAGGGCAAAAATGTACACTTTTAAACTATTTTTCACTTTTTTATAAGTTATTTTAATAGTAAAAATTCATGCAAATGATAAATTAATTTATTTGTATAGTTCTATCCTTAATTAAACATAAAAATCCCAAATTTTGAAAAATATAGTTAAATCTGAATTCTGAGTACAGAAGCAAACTTCTTTATGTCATATATTTTTTTTTCGTGTAGTTATGACCTAAATTATCGAAATTAAACCTTTAAACGAAAAGGCAAATTTTGTGTTGACCTGTGTAATTTGTGGGTTTATCCTCGGGAAACCTACAAAAAGCCCTATTTGTGTTTTTGGTCGTCGAATTTTTGGTTTTAGTGTTTAGCGGGCGAACGCCATGTCGTAGGACAACCGTTCTTTTAGCAAATAATAGATATTTAAATTCTTTATAATATAAATTATATAAATTGTGGGCTTAGCCCTCGGGAAGCCTACAAAAATGCTTTTTTTTTGGTCTTCTAATTTTGTGGTTTTTTTGTTTTAGCCGGCGAACGCTATGTCGTGGGGCTGCCGTTCTTGCACTAAATTGTACGGTGCCTTGAATGGGAGTCACTTCTACCGCTACCTTCGCACGGTGCCCTAAATGGAAATTTATATGGATCCTGTAAGAATAATTAATTTAATTTATGTATATGTATACTTCATTTACATAAATATTTTCCAGTTGTTGGATGAATCATTGGCTAATCCTGAGATGGTCAAGTTAATCAATAGGGACCAACTGGAGAGGTTCCGTGGTACTGGTGGAGGAGTCCGTATTGAGGATTATGTTTTAATTACTGAAGATGGATGTGTCAACTGGACTTAAGTTCCAAGAACGTATGTTATATTTTGGCAATTTATAATATTTTATATTTTACTATTCTGTTATTCATCCTGGTTTATAGTGTACAAGAAATTGAAGATTGGATTGCCGGTGTTGATGATGATTCCAAACACGATTGACTGAATTTACAACATCTTGAAGCTGTTATTGTTATCATTTTTGTTTATTTTGTTAAAAGTTATAAAAAAAGAATTATATAATTGCATATTATTATCTCGTTTTCTTGCTTGTATTGTTGAAAATGCTGTATACTAAGCTGTATATTAAGAAACTGAGTTTGTGATTGTGTATATTCTACATGTTTGAATAAAAAGGTAGTTTTATATTTTTGACTATAAATTTTTATCGTTTTATTTGTTCCAAACGGAGAACTTAGCGCGCAACATCGTTACTCCTTTATTTAATCCATAAATCCCTTAAACTTTATTGGAAATGCCACTGTTAAATATGGAAAATAGTTCAAAATTAATTTTATATTGTATCAATATTAATTCAAAAACGGTATCACTAGTGTCATCTATCCACGAGTAACTAAACTACGCCGCTATTCAAGATTGCTGGAGATTCAGCCTACTGCACTTTCTGCGATCCTAATATTCAAAAGAATTTTGTGTATAATTTCACTGAATTTCTCGACAAAATTTTTTGTGCCATTTTTTGTTGTTTTTCAATAAGGATGCCATCTTGTCCAGAATTCTTCAAGGATCAAGAATGTGTAGTTCTTTTTTTTCTAGCCCTTCTAGTTGTCGAGATAATTACCATTTAATCTTCATAAATTAGACTATTCCGACGGGATACACGTGTTTTATTATAATTGCAAATAGGGCCTAAACGGTTAATGATAGCAAAAAACTTTACAAAAATAATCGATGTAGAATTAAATTATGTATCAGCAGCCTCAAACAGAATTTCAAAATTCCAACTTTTAATTTTCTACATAAAAAAGGGAAATCTTTTGCCTTTTTTATAACAAAATCTTTTCTTTAAAATTTTTTTGTGCCCATTTCTTCACTTTGAGAAAAATATGCCATCTTGTCTAGAATTCCTCAAGGATCAAGAATATGTAGTTCTTTTTATTCTAGCCCTTTTGGTTGTCGAGATAGCCTAATTTATGATGATTAAATGTTAATTATCTCGACAACTAAAAGGGCTAGAATAAAAATAATTACATATTCTTGATCCTTGAAGAATTCTGGATAAGATGGCATCATTATTGAAAAACCACAAAAATGGCACAAAAATTTTTAAAAAATAATTTTGTTATAAAAAAGGCAAAAGATTTCTCTTTTTTATGTTGAAAATTAAAAGTTGGAATTTTTAAATTCTGTTTTCGGATTATGATTGATAATTTAATTCTACATCGATTATTTTAGTAACTTTTTAGTTTATGCTAACCGTTTAGGCCCTATTTGCAATTTTAATGAAAACAACATTCGACATAAAAAAGAAAAATGTTTTGCCTTTTTTATGACGAAATCTTTTTTCAGCAAATGCAGGTTCTGAGATAATTAAAATTTTTAAATTCTGCTTTCGGATTCTGAAAGTAGATTAAATTCAGAATCGGAAACTAGTAACACACTTATAGATTAAGGACCGATTGGCATGTAAAATACAATTTTTTAATTAAAACTGCCAATACAGCCTAAACAGTCAATGTTAAGAAAATAATTACATAAATAGTCGATATAGAATTTTAGCTTACAGAATCCGAAAACAGAATTTAAAAATTCCACCTATACAGAAGCTGCACTTGCTGAAAACAGATTTTTAAACATTATTTTTACCCGTCATTAGTTACCGCGAAAACTATATCAGCCTCCTTACACTTTCTGCGATCCGAATACCAAAACCTGAGTTTCGACTGTTTCGAGTCCAAATTTTGTGTCATTTTGCCTCCCAGAGTCGACAAAATAAAGATTGAATATTAGGAGAGCAGAAAGTTGAGGAGGCTGATAAAGTTTTCGCGGTAACTAGTAATGTGCTGCCTCTGGTGGCGGCGGACCGAAGCTCAAAACTTTCGGTTGTTGTAGTTTCTAATTGATAGATGGCACTAGCATGCACTTTTCAAAATAAATAGTTTGAGGGATCGTTAAATATGAATATGTGATCAGGTAGAAATAACAGAAATAATTATAATTAGAAAAACTTTAAAATATTCTTTATTAAAGAAAACACACAGGCATACATTTTGGGAGTCAATTTGTGTAATAATCACAACATTTATTCAAGATAATGAAATTTATTACTAACAATCTGATGCAAGAATGGTCCTTTTACGATGTTAGAGTCAGGTGCAAAATCCCTAAAACAAGCAAGAATTAGTCCTTCGAACATAAAAATGCAATTTTGGGGGTCAATTTGTGAGATAATCACAAAAGTTATTAGGAAAATGATAAAGAAATTTAATACTTACAATCTGATGCAAAAATGGTCCTTCTACGATGTCAGACTCAGATGCAAACTCCCTAAAACCATCAAAAATTAGTCCTTCGAACATAAAAATGCAATTTTGGGGGTCAATTTGTGAGATAATCACAAGGGTTATTAGGGAAAGTGATAAAGAAATTTAATACTTACAATCTGATGCAAAAATGGTCCTTCTACGATGTCAGACTCAGGTGCAAAATCCCTAAAACCATCAAAAATTAGTCCTTCGAACATAAAAATGCAATTTTGGGGGTCAATTTGTGAGATAATCACAAAAGTTATTAGGAAAATGATAAAGAAATTTAATACTTACAATCTCATGCTAAAATGGTCCTTCTACGATGTCAGACTCAGATGCAAACTCCCTAAAACCATCAAAAATTAGTCCTTCGAACATAAAAATGCAATTTTGGGGGTCAATTTGTGAGATAATCACAAGGGTTATTAGGGAAAGTGATAAAGAAATTTAATACTTACAATCTGATGCAAAAATGGTCCTTCTACGAAGTCAGACTCAAGTGCAAAATCCCTAAAACAAGCAAAAATTAGTCCTTCGAACATAAAAATGCAATTTTGGGGGTCAATTTGTACGATAATCATAAAAGTTATTTAGGAAAATGATAAAGGAATTAATTACTTACAATTTGATGCAAGAATAGTCTTTCTGCGATGTCAGACTCAGGTGCAAAATCCTTAAAACAAGCAAAAATTAGTCCTTCGAACATAAAAATGCAATTTTGGGGGTTAATTTGTACGATAATCATAAAAGTTATTTAGGAAAATGATACTGGAACTAATTACTTACAATCTGATACCAGAATGGTCTTTCTGCGATGTCAGACTCAGGTGCAAAATCCCTATAACAAGCAAAAATTAGTCCTTCGAACATAAAAATGCAATTTTTGGGGGTCAATTTGTACGATAATCATAAAAGATATTTAGGAAAATGATAAAGAAATTAATTACTTACAAACTCATGTAAGAATGGTCCTTCTACGATGTCAGACTCAGGTGTAAAATCCTTAAAACCATCAAAAATTAGTCCTTCGAACAGAAAAGGGCAATTGTTTAAAAATTAAAATTTAACAAACTATTATACACTTTCAATGCGTCTGGCAGGATGATAGAACCCACCAAACTGTCTGGCGACTAAGAAAATACTATATTATTATAATATTTCCTAATATGACGATACCAGTTGGAACCATACCAGGTGTCTGACAATGAGCAGCGCATGTTATAATAATGTTACGAATAAAATATGCAAAAATGGAGTTTGCTAAAATAACGAAACTTAGGTCATCATTTATACATCTTTATTGGCTGTTAACTGCCAAAGGAACCACGATCCAGGTTTCATAATTAGGAATTGTTCTTACCTGCGTTGGAGACACACATAGGCAAAATTTCATCTTTTCTAAAATGACTAGTCGTCTGGCCGTCACGGGCTCTTGCTCTATAAAGGAGATAGAAAGGAACGAATCGCAAAGATATCGACGACAGTGATGATTATTATTAAATATTTGTTAAAATAAAATTACTATTCTCTGAAAATTTCATGTTTAAACAATTTAACTATTGCAACTTTTATACACTCTCAATGCGTCTGGCAAGATGTGACAGAACCGACCACACTGTCTGGCGTAAAAAGATACACAGTTTCATAGCTCTCTGCAATTATGCAGACACATTAGTGTATTCGGCTTTCCTAATATAACAAAAGTAAAAAAATTAAAAAAATATTATAATTTAGGGGTGTCTGGCTAGGGTTGGAACCATACCAGGTGTCTGGCAATGAGCAGCGCATGTTGTAAGAATATTACGAACAAAATATGTAAAAAAGGAGTTTGCTAAAATAACGAATTTGAGGTCATCATTTGTACATCTTTGTTGGCTGTTAACTGCCAAAGGAACCACGATCCAGGTTTCATAATTGGGGATCGTTCTTATCTGTATTGGAGACACACATAGACAAAATTTCATCTTTCCTAAAATGATGAAAGTCTGGCCGCCCGGGCTCTTACTCTATTATATTTATTTCCATTTCAGTGTTACGGTGTTATAATTGTAACACTTTACCTTGCAAAATTGAAATAAATAATTATATAACAAATTTCGAAACATTATTTAAAACAACAACTCTTTCTCGACAATGAAAATACTAAAAATTTCAAACAAATTTAAAAAAATCATTTAAGGTTTTCGAGATATGGCCTGTTTTCTCCCGCATGTTTTGAAAAATGCAACAAAAAAGTAAATTTTGGCGGCCATTTTGAGGCAGTTACGACCGAATTTCGCGGGGGTTTGAGAGGTGCATCTTTAAAATGCACTCATGCCCTATCATAAAATTAAAAAAACACTAAAATATAACAAAGAGTTCCCGAGATATGGCCTGTTTTCCATCGCGTGTTTTGAAAAATGCAAAAAAAAAAGGGCAAACTTTGTCGGCCATTTTGAGGCAGATATGACCGAATCCCGCGGGGTTTTAGGGCTGCATCTTAAAAATGCACTCTTGCCCTATCATATAATAAAAAAAACACTAACATATAGCATAGGGTTCCCAAGATATAGTCTGTTTTCCATCTCGTGTTTTAAAAAATGCAAGAAAAGGGCAAATTTTCTCGGCCATTTTAAGGCAGTTACGGCCGAATTTCGCGGGGTTGGAGAGGTGCATCTTAAAAATGCACTCATGCCCTATCATAAAATAAAGAAAACACTAAAATATAACAAAGGGTTCCCGAGATATGGCCTGTTTTCCACCACGTGTTTGGAAAAATGCAAGAAAAGGGCAAACTTTCCCGCCCATTTTGAGGCAGTTACAACCAAATTTTGCGGGGTTTGAGAAGTGCATTTTAAAAATGCACTAATGCCTTATCATGAAATAAAGATAACACTAAAATCTAACAAAGGGTTCCCGAGATATGGCCTGTTTTCCAGCGCGTGTTTTGAAAAATGCAATAAAAGGGCCAACTTTGTCGGCCATTTTGAGGCTGTTACGACCAAATTTCGCGGGGTTTGAGAGATGCATCTTAAAAATGCACTCATGCCCTATCATAAAATAAAGAAAACCCTAAAATATCACAAAGGGTTTCCGAGATGTGGCCTGTTTTCCACCGCGTGTTTTAAAAAATGCAAGAAAAGGGCAAACTTGGGAGGCCATTTTGAGACAGATATGACCAAATCCCGCGGGGTTTTAGGGCTGCATCTAAAAAATGCACTCTTGCCCTATCATATAATAAAAAAACACTAAAATATAACATAGGGTTCCCAAGATATGGCCTGTTTTCCACCGTAAAGTTTGAAAAGAGCCCAACTATTCCTCTATTGTGAGCAAAAAAATACTAAACAGTTAATTCTGAGTTGTATCAGCAGGTTATGCGGCTATCTTGTGTCTTTGCAATACGCGGTGAAGCATGATAACAAAACTACATACATACAAACTAATATTCGACGCATATATTAAAAAGAAACTATAATTTAATTGTAAACTTACCAATGTAGAAGCTAATCGGATTGCAAGGCACTGCAAATAAATAGAATAAAAAAAACATAAGTTGAAACAAAAACATTTCATACAATATGACAATATTATAATTACACGTCGAACTAAACAAACAATCTGTGCTGTTTACTTATATACTCCACGATGGGTTCTAATGCTGAATAAATCAACACGGGGGCGACATGTATCCGATTCACTTAGCAACTCTACACCTTGTGAGTTGCTAATACACTACTTAACCGGTATTTATGGACAATAAACACGCACATATTAAATAACATAACTTTAGTAGCTATAATTAAATAGTGGTTTGCTAATTAAATATAATGTAAATTTAGAAAACAGAGGTCCGAACAAACGATACGCGACGCGAGAAATACGTCTCAACCACCCAGTGACCGGCACGCAACTGGGCGCAACCCGCGGATAGTGCATGCCGTAGCCGAGCAAGCTACGACGCGATAGTTTACGATAAGAAAGCAAGAGATGCGCAAAGCCGGCGCGTCGATACCACGCGACCTTGTGCGCGAATTGCAATAGACACGATATCTGCGATCTAAACAAAACTAGAAACTGCTGCATTCGGCGTGAGAGGATTTCAGCGCCGGCACTTGGGAATATCATGCGTTACATTCAACGCGGCGGAAGCGATAAGAAAGTAAATTGTGTTCAAAACAAATACAATTCTTATGCCAAATGCCAACGTTTGTCGATAAATATAGAAATAAAGAATACAATTCTATTTTATGATGTTTAGTTCATGCTAGTACCATCTCTGAATGATACAGGTAGGAGTGCCAGAATTTAGATTATTATAATTAATGAAAAATTGCACGATTTTACATTAATTATTAAAGTAGTGCTGTACAATTTTTATTAATCGCAAAATGTGTGCTAAAAATCGGTTTTCCCAAGCTTCCACAGAGAAGCAATAATCAACAAAAAAATTTCACAATTTCAAAAAGAACAAAAATGAGCAAGTCTCCAACTCGTGGTTATGGAATTAAAATCACAAGAAACGTGAATTGTATGTAAAATACGCATGCAGATCAGCTGTCAACCGGCTCGCAACTGTCCACAATCCGCTGAATAAGATAAAAACCTAACAAATACAACCGGTGATAAGGCTGCCCGCTACCCGCACCCCGCAGTCGAAAATCTACTGCAATCTACGGCACTACTACGATCACAACAACTAAAGTAATGCAAATAAATTGTAACAATAATATTGACATAGTGTAATTTACACAAATAAAATTGCCTATAATTTTAAATTGTAATTATGTTATTCCGTGAATGTTTCGTATTTTTTAATATGGCTGAATTCTGTAACAATAATTATTTATTTATATTTTGTGCAGCTTATACTCTTTAAAGTCTTCAAATTTATGCCAAAGAGTAAATTAGATCTAACAAACTGTCGAGATATAAAGGAGAACACAAAGTCTTTGAACAAAATTATTATCCATGTCAAATTTCTGCTAATATGAAAACCTACAGGGCATGCTCGTGTTATAAATGATTTAAATATTAATTTTCCTTATCAACCAATCAATCACTGCAAATCCAAGCAAATAGTATTGAAATAAAGTGGAAATAGAATATTGGCTACACCAAGTTTTACATTGTTGGAATGCTGCGTTCCGTCGGAACAAACATTTCATGTTAAACAACATCAGCGTTCCGTCGGAACGAAGATTTCATGTTAGAATCACTCTTTACGCTAAAATAACTCGACTCAACAGCTTTTGAACAGATGCTCATATCAAAAGTAATTTTCACAAGAAAAATTTTGTTGCGAGTTAATTTTAATTATTATTGAAAATAATAAGATATCGACCGTTGGCGATCAAATTATTTTAGTATATTTTATATTTCCGTGTTCACACGGTAATATTAAAATAATAAATTCATGTATTTATATAACTTGGAAATAATGTAATTGTTAAATATAGTTGAAAGAAATATACTAGTGATAGGCATTGTCAATAAAAACATGGCAATCTAGTTGGTTATCGTATGTTCAACGCGATAAAAGAACTGTTTATAAACAAAAACTGGTTAAAAGACTACAAGTTCATTGCCAGCAATTTTACTTCAAATATCATACACCTAGCGACATCTAGTGAACACTCTTCAGTACGTAGTCGAATAACCTCACCATTCAAAACAAATACACGTGTGTTCACCACACGATTTCTAAACTCAACTTTTAATGTGAAATTAAGTTTGTTCACGATGAAAAACAAATCGGCACGACACAAAAGTGAAAACACTTTTAAGGTATTCAATTTTTTTGAATTTCACGACCCAAAAATATTAATTACATCACTTATTTGTTTCTAGTTTATTCCCTTTGCGGAGAGAATCAACAACATAGATGTGGACATATTCCACAAAGTTGCACATGAATATGAAACACAACTGGAAGAGGATGAATGCATCTTTCATCAGACTATCAATAAATGGAATGTGCTCAATCTCACAGAGTTCTATGACAATTTCAAGAAAGACATTCATGCTTTCAATGTTGTCACACTACCACAGTTGATTTTCAACAAGGAGAACATCAAAACTGTGCTAGTGAAACATTTACTACTGAAAAATGAACTTGCACTACAGCCTTTACTTGAGTATGACATTTACAACCAAATATTAAAATAACTATTAAACTAATAATTGTCATTTGTTTCTAGTTTGGTGGTTGCTTTAGCAAAAGACTTGAGACAAGACTTCTATCCTTTCTATCATGACTTTTTTGAAGTATTTGTTAGCATACTACACACAAATAATTCAGAAGTATTGGAGTGGACATTCCACTGTCTGGCTTATTTATTTAAATTTCTTTGGAGGCCAATGATTGCTGATATTGGTGCAGTATTTAAACACTTATTGCCTCTTCTTGGAGAAGAATATCATGGCTACATCAACAACTTTGCTGCTGAGAGTTTTGCATTTGTGGCTAGGAAAGTCAAAGATTTCAAGAGTTTTCTTTTTATGATACTTAAAAATGTCAAACAATACAATAATGTAAGTTGAAACTTCTGAATATGGTTTCATGATTATTTACTAACATTATTTTATTATATTTAGGGTATATCGGGTTGTGGCCGCTTAATATACGAAATCCTCAAGGGAATAACCGGGCACTTTCACAGTTCTTCAACAACAGTCCTGCCAATCTTAATAGATTCACTCCAAGAAAAGAATTCTCACCAAGAAGAGTTATATCAAGTGCTAGAAAAAGTGATTGAACATATTACCACAACAATCAACCCTCAACAAGGAGATCTACTTTATACAACATTACTTGCAAGTATAAACAAACAAATTAAAAAAGATCTACAAGACGAGCACGTTGAGAAAACTTTAAAATTGCAATTAACACTATTGGGGCAATCTTTAGAGTATAAATCCGGTAAATTTTTGAACAATTCAACAGCAAGTGTTGTTCAAGAGATCCAAAAACTTGTTACGACTAATTTACCGACAGATGTTACTCTTACTGTCGTACAAATTGCAATTGTATTGCTACAATCACACGCAATAAATTTGACTCAAGCTCAAGCAAGCTCATTAGTACAGAAAATTCTCATTCATAAAGAACAACAGGTTCTTTTGTACTTCGTTGAGAATACATTTGACTATCCGCTATTTAAAACTTCTATACTACCGACTTTTTTGAGATATTTCGGTCAAACAATAACTGCTGAAGGGGATACCATAAAAGTCGATGAGAAATTTTTGACTTTAATATCAAAATTATTACTGCACAAAGCGCCAATGTGCTTTGCCAGCGAATCAAATGCTGATTTAATTGCATGGTTGCCTTATACAATTGATTGTAACAAGAATGAACAGATAACTAAATATCTAATGAAATTTATTACTGTTGAGTGTGATAGTCTTGAAGAAGCAATCAGTAGACTACTGATTATTCCACATTTGAAAGGCATAAACACTAATAAAACAGTACAAGAAGTTATTTACAAAAATATAGAGAAACTTATTGAAGAAATTGTCAAAGTTAAAGAAACAAATTCACTGGACAAATATTTATTACTCTTGATTGTAAATCTTGAAATACACGTTCACATATCTCAAGAGTTAGACGTGACTGAAGCCCGGAACTTATCAAAAGTTTAATGAACTCTTTACTGGATTTATCTACAAATTATCAGCACTTGTGGTCTTTGAAATGCTTAGATTTGTTCTTTACATTTACAAGTTTAAAATGTTCACAACCCAATGAGATTCTAAACGAAGAAACGCTCAAACAACTGCACTCAACTTTAAAATACAACTTCAATTCACCGTATCATAAGTTGAGACTTCACACAACGCATATTTACACTTTGTTTGAATCATCTGTATCACACAAAACACAAGAACACAGTTGGAATGTGTTTTCGTTGTGTTACAAAGTCGAATCGACAAATGCACAGGTGGATACCTACAGAGATCAGTTGCAGTGTTTAGAAAAGTTTAACTTTGACAAACCACAAATGCAACTTGCGAAGGATACAGATTTTCTTGATTTGCCTCTGCGATATTTATGTGGTGTATTATACATGAACTTTAAACTACTTTGGGATCCTGTTGTTGCTATAATTGCTTCACAAGCGAATGGAATGGAAATTGATGCGTTTTGGAAGGTTTACGTTGAAGAATTACAAACCGCTGCTAAAAACGTACGCCAGACACCGGTTGTTGTACAAAATAATGTGTTTACCGATAATAAACTGGATGATTATGAGTTTGTTTATGATTTAATTGATAGAAGTCGTTTGATTGATGATAAAACCGACTTTTTGAACTATCGAATCTTAGTTTGGAAAGCAATGACTTCCTTTGCGCATGTTGCGGAAGCTAGAAATCGAGACGTGGTCAATTTGTTTCTTTCGTTCGTTAACGAGGAATACATGAGGACAAATAGTGATGTTGCATTTGTTTTGAATATCAAACAAGCAACTGAAGAAGATATGGAAGTCACAATGGATGAAGATGTAGAGAAAACTGAAGAAGAACTGGAATTGGAACGTATTAAGAAAGAACTAAAGAAACCAGTGCCAAAATATGGCGGAAAAGCTGTGCTCAAGTTACTGCTACATCATCTTCAGGTATTTGCGAAAGTAAAGAGTCCCAAGTCGATGGTGAGGGAACCCGAATTGTACAAATTATATTTCGAGTTTTTGGCACACAAGAACGCAGAAGTACAGAAAGCAGTCTTAGACTGTTTGATGACATATAAAAATAAAAACGTTACGCCGTACTCTACACATCTCTATAACTTAATCGATGAGAAACAGCTAAAAAACGAACTTGTTCAATTCAAACTGGATAAAAGTTCAGAACATATTCAACCACCGCATCGTGAGGATCTCATTCCGCTGGTGTTGAAGATAGTTTACAGTAAAATGGTGATGAGAACTGGTGGCAAAGCTGGCGGGCAACAGAGACGCAACATGATATTTCGATTCCTCAGTGGATGCATGGAAAGTGAAATGTTGCTCTTCATCAAAATGGCGTTCAAGTTCTACGATAAATATTACAACTCAGAGGAAGATATCCTCACATTAATATCGAGTGTAAGCGATAATATTGACCTGGAAAATTTTATTCCTCCGAAGCGATTGTTGAGCACAGAGAATTTACTGCAAGTTGTATTCGAAAACTTCGGCAATTTAATGAACGATCAAATATTACACTTTGTTTTGAAAATTATTTTATGCATTGGAGCAACCTTGAAAGGCGCTTTTGTGAAACAACCCGAAATCCATGCTGGATATTATAGTATTTTGAGAACTCTGCGAACATCTTCAATAAAATTAATTGAACAGTTTTCGTCCAGGTTTGAATATGCATGGGATGCAGAACAAATCGATGCAGTATTCGAAGTTTTTGTGTGGCCATACATCACTAAACTTGAATTCGAAGGTATACACAGTCCGACGACTTTGTTAAAATTATTGGGATTCTGGGCATCAAATCCAAGATATTATCAATTATTAGTTAAACATCGAAAAGATGATATTCAGAGTTATCCACTTGCACATTTGATAAAATTACTAATGAATCCGAAAGTACATCTATCAGTGAATAACTTTATAATGGAAATGATAGAAAACATGCTCAGATTGACTCTAGACGATGGTGAAATGATGATACCAGTTGAAAATGTCCTTCCGATTGAAGCAAGTATTTTACAACGATTGAAAGTACCCGAAAACAATCTAAACTATGGAAGTTGCATTTTATTACCGCATGTACCACACATTCTTCTTAAAATGAAAGAAAAACTTATAAAGAAGAAGAAAACTATCACCAAACGTGATTTGATTATCCTATCAAGGATTTCTGAATTAGTTTGGGAGGCGGATATAAGTGATTCTACTTTAGACTTAATAATACCGATTGTTTCAAAGAAAACTCGTCTGGGTGCCAAGGAAGAAGAACTCACACAACTCCTAACTACAATTAAGAATCTATTACATAACGTTAAAGATCCCAAGAAGCATTTGAAACATTTATCTCCTCTGTTTGGATATGTGAAAGAAATGTCATGCAGGAAGATACTCTGTGAGATTTTAACTGACATTTCGGTTGATAACTCGGAATATTCACTGATTACCGAATTAATGACTGAATTAAACGCTTGCAATGCAAGGTGGATAGATCAACCCGACTTTGACCGCAGGATATCAGCGTTTAGAAAAATCGAGACACTCTTTAAAGAAAACAAACTCACTTTGGAGTTATCCATTCTTTTAATTTACAATTCTTTCTATACGTTATCAGTAGAAAAAGATTTGTCTCTGCGGGAATGTGCAGTTGATTGTTTGAAAACAATCACACCGGCGTTGGTATTAAATCATTATCAAAATCAACAACATAAAGACTATATTCTTGACCAGACTTTACTTCCGATGATCAAAAGTGGATGTAAAACCGCTATTCGTAACGATTGTATTACCTTACTGGGGCATTTAGCTAGAGAATGTGCTGATACACATGTTGTACTCAAAGATTTAAACAAGTTGACGAATAAAGCAGATCCTGAAGTAGACTTCTTTGAGAACTTGGTGCATCTCCAACTACATAGGCAGGGACGTGCTTTGTTGAAGGTGAAAGAAGTGTTTAGCAAAGAAGAATTTGCTCCTAATATCAGAACACTAACACAGTATTTATTACCGTTGGCCACACATTATTTGTGTAATGATCAGTTCACTAGTAAACATACATTGATAGATAGCGCTTGTGATGTGATTGCAACTTGCGCGAAATTAATGCCATGGCATCATTTTGAAGCATTATTGAAGCTATATCTAAGTAAATTGATGCACGACGTACCAAATCAAAAACAACTGGTGAAAATTGTTGTGTGTATTTTGGATGCTTATCACTTCGATTTGAGAAAAGGTCTTGATGATGATATCGAAGATTTGAAAGAACCAGTTGAAGAAATTCAAGTTAAACCTGTGAATACTGAAGAAGATGATGATGACGATGATGAAAATGATGAAGATAAAGACGAGATTGAAGAAAAAGAAGATGATTTAGAAGAGGATGAAGATGAAACACCCGAAAAAGTCAAACCCTATGACAAAATCACCGTTTTATGCAAATCAGCAGCAAAACGCGTCATAAAAATCATCAAGGTAAGTTTCACCAACAAAATTATTTACAGAAATTAATTTTGAACATTGTAATTACAGTGTGCCCTGTTACCACAACTCAATCGTGCCCTAGCGATGAAAACCACACACGAGAACACCCATAAACTCAACCACAAACGCGCCACGCGTGAAGAGCGCGAAGATGAGGACCTCGTCCGCATTCCCATCACGCTCGCTGTGGTGAAACTTCTCCAGCGTTTACCGAAATACCTTCTGGACCGCAACTTGCCAGGCGTGATCATGAAGATATGCACGTTCCTACGGACGAAACTAGAAAGCGTGCGACGCACAGCACGCGAAACCCTACAGAAAATCTGCCTGACACTAGGACCAGATTATTTAGGAATTATCCTTGGCGAAATGGCTGGTTTACAATACAAAGGCTTTCAAATGCATGTTCTGGTATTTACTGTACATGCAATTTTAAACACATTGAAAACACATTACGAACCCGGACATATTGATGCTGTCCTATTGACTGTGATAGATTTCTGCATGCAGGATTTGTTTGGAGCGTTAGCAGATGAACGAGAGGTTGGAAAGATTACCAGCAAGACTGTGGAGGCGTCGTCTCCGAAAAGTTACGACACACTTCAGATTCTAGCGCAGTTTATTACGGAAAAATGTATCATGGATATGTTACTGCCGATTAAAAAGATTTTAGGCACGTCTCATTCGTTTAAGGTTGTAAACAAAGCTGAAGAGTGCTTGAAACAAATTGCGCTTGGATTAGTGGATAATCAATTCTTAGATGTGGAAATAATACTGAAGTTTGCGTATGGTACAGCATCGCAGAGTATTCCGGATTTATTATTTCAAGAGAAACCAGAATTGACAGCGAAAGAATCGGAAAAATTGGCGAGGCAGAAGCCTGATTGTTATATTATACCAAAAGCACCTGTTGGCAAGTCGGGGGTGAGAGTATGCAAAGTTAAAAACTCCCAAACAGCAAACGCACATTTATTGGTGGAGTTCGGGTTGAAATTGTGCAATATATTGCTCAAGCGAGATAAACTCAAAGATGGTGATTATTCAGGATATATGGATCCGTTTGTTAGTATTTTAAAGAATTGTATCAACACACCACATGTCAAGGTAAATACAAAGAAATTTACTAAAACTAAGAGTTAATAAGTTAATTTTAATTCTTTTCGTGTTAAAGTTGAACACAATTTCACTCCAATGTATGGAATGGATGTTAAAATACGAGCTACCATCTTTAAAATCAGACATCAAGGACATCACCAAGTCTTTGTTTGCCATTTTACACAAATATGCTTCTGCAGGACTCAAGAAGGGCGACAACTTTGATTTAGTTATGGCTTCTTTCAAGGTAAATTTTAATTTTTACATTTTCATATTTGATTTTAATGTTTTTAATGTTTTGTTGATTATAGACAATGGCTGTGTTAGTAAGGGATGTAAAATACCATGTGATACAAACAGAGCAATTAAAAGTTCTGCTGTTATACGTCGAGCAAGATTTGTACAATCACGAACGTCAAGCAACAGCTTTCGGCCTTCTGAAAGCGATTATAGCGCGCAAGTTAATTGTGCCTGAGCTACCGGAAATCATCATGAAAGTAGCCGAGCTGAGTATAACTTCAGATCTGCCGCATGTTCGCCAACAATGCCGCATTGTTTATCATCATTATATTATGGATTATCCTTTGGGAAGAAATTAGAAAGATACGTGAGCTTCTATTTGGGGCAGATGAGTTACGAATTGCAAACTGGACGCGAATCAGCGCTGGATATGGTGCTGATTTTAATTAATTCATTTCCAATTGTAAGTTATTATAGAAAATTATATTTTTGTATTGTTTATTAATGTATGATATTTACTTCCAGAAAATTCTAAAGAACTTCAGCGGAACTTTCTTCGTATCAATTGGTACACGTTTGGTCAACGATGACGTGCCGGAATGCCGCAAAATGGCCGCCAAGTGCATAACAACACTATTACAACGCCTAGAAAAACCCGATCGCGATCCACTTTTCGACATGTTGATTCTATGGTTTAAAGACAGAAAAGTCCAACACAAAATGCTCGCTGCCCAAATGTGCGGTTTACTTATCAACGTAGAAAAAGTAAACTTTGAATCACGCATACCGAAACTCATACCAGAAGTACTCAAACAATTCGCTAGGAATAACGAAGACGAACCTGGCAAGTTTGTACGCGCACAAATCGAAGAAGAAGAGGGATACATCAAGGAGCGAAATAAAGACCATCATCTTTATCAAGTGCTGCAGATGCTACAAAAACTATGCGCGCAAGTACCAAACGTTTTAAAACAAACCAACGACGTAGAGAATTTAGCAGTACGCGCCCAAGGATTACTTTCACATGACCACGACTGGGTACGACTTGGAGCCGCGCAATTCCTAGGATACGTGCTTGCTGCAATTGACATTCCTAAACTATCGAAATTATTACTAAACAACAAAGAAGATGAGGGTTACCTATATACGAATCCAAACGATTCGATAAAATCCCTCACTTTGGATTTGAGCGCGCAGTTGGTTCCTGGCTGCACAAAAACAGATTTAGCCGAACAGGTAATCAAGAATCTAATCGTCATCGCGCGGGTGCTACAGAACGTGCCCATAAATAAGAAGCAAACACAAGAGGACGACCAAGAGCTGGAGAATGAAGACGACGCTGATGTTACCAAGCGCGTCAATTTATTGTGGCTGGTCAAACGAGTCCGACGCATTATTAACATGGAAGTTGTTGAGAATACGACTTCGACTGCACTCAGGACGGAATTATTCAAATTTATCGCCGCGCTGTTGACAGTCATCGATATTAATATCCTACGCCCGATTATACATCATCTATTAGCGCCTTTAGTGCGTGAAATAGTCACTAAAGAAAAAAGCACTGAAGAATTAATACAATTAAGTCAAGAAGTATCAGCGATAGTCAAAAGTAAAATTGGTAAAGATGAATATACAAGGCTATTGGCAACTATCGAAGGTCAGTTGACAATAAGACGCGCGGAAAGAAAGCGAAATCGCACGCAACTAGCAGTCACAGACCCCGAGTTATACGCAAAGAAGAAGATCAAACACAACGAAAAGAAAAGGAGTTGAAGAAGAAAAAGATCAGTCGTAGTAAAGGGTTATTTGTGGGTACCAAGGGTGGCAAGAAGAAGAAAAGTGTCGAAATCGACGCGGATGATTAGCAAAGTGTGCTGCACCTTGTATAAAGTAAATTTAAGTTGTTAACCTTCTCGGCGCGTGCGGCGTGTGCCAAGAAAAGTGTTCGCGTTTCGCGACGCGTTTAGTCGACCGTCGACACCAGACTCAGACGCAGACTTGCATTCAAATTACGCATAAGACTTCTAGTTTTACAGAAACGAGTTAGTTTACGATGAAAATCGCGTTTTTCATGGCGTTGTGGATGGTGTTTGTGGCCGTGTGCGCTTACGATCCGAACGATAAGGGCGTCGGCGACGTGCTGCCGCCGGAGGGTACCTTCGAGGCGTTCTATCCGCGCGGCGAGGGCACCGGCTCGTCGCGGGCGGCGCACTCACACGGCAGCTTCTACAAGCATCGCAATCCGGCGCTGGTGGATGCCAAGAACGCCGCCGCGTACGGCTTTCGCTTCGACGGCGGGCGGCGATTCAATTACGATTGATGCTCGAGTGTCTTAGTCAATCAATAAACGCCGAAGAAGGAAAAACTAGCTTTTAAGTTATATTGTGAGTTTTGTAGCAAATAAACATAAATAATTGTTTGTAAATTTATATTTTCTTCTGAGTTTTCTTAGAAATAATCTTGTTAAATTATTCTGAGAAGGAAACAACTTGTGTTATTGATTACCACACACTGATCTGGATTTAAATACAAAGTGTAAGTTTCAAGAATTGGTCACGATGGCCGAAATTCCTCACTTCTTTAGCTGCCACGTTCTAGTTATTCCTATTTACATTCGAAAACAAAACAAAACCAACCAATGAATCTATGAAACTAGTTCGGGCACGAAACGCACGCATAGAGTGTGTTTTATTTTATTTTACTTCGTCCTCTTCACGCAACTCTGCGTATTCGTTTATTTTTTAATTCCTTTCAGAGTGGATGCGTTTTATTGCCCGCTGTCGCCGCCAAGCCACCACGTATATATTTTAATGTTCATTCAGATAACTAGCTGCGAGAAAAAAGTAGTTCGACGTACACGAAGCACCAGCGTCGCAGACGTGAGAAGGGCCAAAGATGCGCGCCTCCGAAGGTACAAATGCGGAACCGCGCCGATGGAATGGAATGATAATAGGATTGGGAAGTAATTTTCATGCGGCGCGCTGCGTCTAACGGACAAGTGGAACACTCGAAAAAATCAAGTAAAAAAAAACTTGGACTAGGAAAGGGTCAGTATACCCTCAAGGCATTTAAAGGGCCGAAATCTTGGAATAACTTCAATTTTAACATAAAACACTTTTTAAAATGGCTGACAATCATGCAAAACTAACCTATATTCCTATCCTACTCAACCTACTCAAAAATATAATTATTTTGTACTAAAAACGTTCTCATTGTCTAATTTCTTGAATAATTTTCAATATCGGCTTTGACTGTACATGATTATAAAGCTTGCGCCCGAATTAAGGGTACTTTAGCATAATTACGCTCGATTTCTGTCTAAGAGCGTTCGATTTCACGTGAAGTACGTTATGCTGCGCGTTATTACACGCCGATCGAAAACCTCAAGCTCAAGAGTTGGAAATTACTCAGCGCATCGCCTGGCGCACTCCTAGTAATTATGTAAATCATGTGCATCGTACCTTGCATTTTATCTCGTCCGCTGACCTGCTAGCACGCTGACCGATTGAAATATTCCACGGTTCGTCTAACGTCTCGAAAAACTCTTCAAAGCGCCGATGCCAATGTTATCACCGTTATCGATCTCCATCTTGATCATTTCACGCATTATTGTAGTAACCAGACCGAATTTGAATTTGAATTCGGTTGAATTACAAGTGCCTGTAACATAAAGTTGATAAATAGATTAAAAACAATGTTACTCACAACCTTAACAATGAAATTTTGTATTTTTATAACAATTTGTTGTAATTTTTGCTTGTTTTCACTTGTGAATGACAAAAACAGTGTTTGCAGTTTGACGTTAGTTTTCTGAAGGTGTATAATGGGTTGCCTGCATCTGTATGTTCAATATCTGTATAACTGTACAAAATATGTCGAGTAATTTTAATTTTCGATTGCCCTGCGTGTTTGGTGATGATACAAGCTTATGTAAACATTTAAATTCATCAGCGGTGATTCAGCATAATCACGCACGGCATGCAAAAGTGAAGATTGTTTCAGGTTTGACTTGTTGACAACTCAACACACAATAAACCAAGTGTAACAAGATTTCCTATCGCAACAAAATAAATCACGCGTAAGACATGTTACTTAATGAAACATCGTCACCACATCATCAGCGCGATGAAATTTGACAGAGTCGATAACATGCGGATGATTAATTAACGTCGAGTTTTTACTTTTTAATTACAAGCGCAGGTTCTAATTGCGCCCGGCTTTTGTTCGGCGATTCATTCATCTCGTTTTCGATTACCGGAACGCTTGGGATTCATTTGTCTAGGAATAAAGTGGATTACCGCGCACCACTGACTCACTGGTCACTGGACGCAGTTCGTTAGTAAGGCAGTGGATGGGACAAGACAAGAAAAAGTTTGGAAATAAAAAAGTACAGTTACAGTTAACTCCGCTTGATTATTACCGCGTAGAAAACTGGTAACTGGTATGATGGGGATGCGAGGGATCTTCGAAAAGGGCCAATGGCCAGCGTCGGGCGCAGAGTGGTGGAACGCGCGAGGAAAAAAAACCATATAAAAACGGTTTTCGATGCGTTGGCATCGGCATTCGATGTTTTAAGTTTTAGTCTTCGTAGACAACATTCAAATTTGAATTTAATAGAGAAAAGTGTAAAGGGTTAATTTTTTAAAAGTGTGAATTTATAGAAATATACCACAATGTCGATTAAAATTGAATTATGCGTAAGTATTTTTACTTAAAGTAAATAATTTGCGATGAAAAATTAAAATTAAATTAAAAATTTTATTTATACTTTGTGCATAACTAAATTTCAGGCAATAGTTTTGGTGGTAGCATGCGCGACATCTACATCAGCGTTCTTTCTAAGTTGGGGATCGCCACAACCGTAAGTATTTTACTATTTTAAACAAATAACTGTTTCTTTATTTTTAATAACTTAACAGTTATTACTTTTTGCAACCGAAAAGTAAAAGGCAAATGGCAATTATGATAAACTAGCTTTTGCATGTAAGTTCTTCACTGTAGTTTTCAGTAAAAATTTAATTAAGTTTATGCTTTCTTATTTATTTTAAAGAAAATTAGAAATGCTAATAATGCAGTTTAGCGCCATCTCAGATTCAATTATTTATCTAAAATTATGATTGAATCTCTATACCAATTTTCATCATTCATTTAACACTATTTAAATTATATTTTTTGATAATTTAATATTGATTCCGGTATTTAGAGCGGAGACGAATCCAACAAGTCATAAAACAAAAACATCTGTCCAACCGTTCTAAAGTTATAAATGTTGTAACTAACCAAAATTTTCGATATTAATATCTTCTAAATATATTGAAATAAGTAATAAATAACTTAAAAATAGTAAGATAACCCAATTAAACAGTTAAACACGCATGCGCTTCAACTAGTTGTATAATGGGTTGCCTATTCTCAATAAAATAAAACCGAAAATAATATAAAACATTTACTTTTCAGGGTTAAATCGCAACATCCGCCTCCACAACAACAACAAACACAACTACCTCAGCCCTACCCACCAACCCTTGCATATTACCAGCGCGTGGTGCAACACCAACCGCAGTATGTTGACAACAACGGAGTACCAATGCAACCACTACAACCGATTCCCTCCATACCAATTCAAGTCCCCCTACAAGCACAATTCTCCCCTGCGCCAGGAATACACAACGTGCAACTTGTGCCCTGTTTATGTCCAGTATCGCAAGATATGGAACCCATTGAAAATGCTGCGTTTCCTTCCTCACAACAGCAGCAGGCGCAACAGCCACAACAACAAATGCAACAACTCCAACAGCAGCAATTGCAACAGATCCAGCAACAAATTCAACAAAAGCAGAATCCGTAGAAACTCTGGTGACATTGTATTTTAAACAAGAAAAAAAAACAATTATTTAATTGTAGAAATTATAGGAAGTTGTGCACTCTATTATACCTCCATAGACACATATACACTAATTGAAAGACTGATGATTATTAATTGTAATGTAAAGACTTGACGAAAGACTGCTAATTATACGTTTTAATAATTTATAACAAAAGAAAAGAGCGTCGAACGAGTATTAGCGACTCATAATTATAGTTGTTTTATTTAATTATTGCAAACTGTAAATATTTAATAACTTATTTATTATTGTAGTGCAGGAAGAAACGGAACAATGTTGCAATTTAGTTTATATCATTTAATAGTAAATAATTAATGTCACGATGGAATAATAGACTGTATCACCCAATTAAAAGTTATCCTTAAATAAAATAATACTATAAATTAATCACGTATTTTTAATTCAGACAAATAATTTCAAATTTTGTACTCGTATGTTTCTCAAAGTTGCGTTAGTTTCAGTATTAATAACTAAGAATAGGCTGGGCAGATTTTATTTATTTATGATTTGTTGAACTAGTCTCAAATCCGAATCAAACAAGAAACTAAAAATTAGTTACATTTTTACCAAAAACTACGGGGATGTAAATGCGAGCAAAAGGTAGTATGAAATGTAGTCATCAAATATAATCTCAACGATGTTGAAATGTTATATGTTGTACCGCAAGTCAAAGAATAGAGGAATTCAATATATAATCTTTAACTTTTTGAATATAGATGGCGTAATTGATCAAATTCCTAATATTTTCATTGAAGCTTTTATATAACTTAAAACATTGATCAAAATTTATAAAAAAGTGAGTTTATATAACATTTACGCAAATTATATATGAATTTATGTATAGTTTATATTTATAAACAAATAAAAACTATGCATGTCTAATTTATACTCGTGCAAGTGTAAACTTTCATTATTATTCATTATGACTCACTTTGTTATATTCTGAACACATGCTAACAATTTTTTCATTCCTTCATGATTTATATTACAACAATCGATTTAATAATAAATTGCGTGTTAATTTAATGTAAGGAAGATGCAATTTACCATCCGGTAATAATAACTTCCGAATAATTATAAAAACTAGAGTTAAACACTCTTAAACTCCGCAAATATATCAACGATAAATACAAATTTAATCTTGGTCTTTTGTTTTATAGGTTAACTTTAAAAAACATCTAGGCCAATACGCATTTAAGACGCATTTAAGACTTTGTTTGTATTTTTTTAGGTTATAAAATAATTGTGGTTTGACACTGAAATTTACCTTAAAACAACCAAAACAAATGCATCTTTTTCTGTTCCGAACGCATTCCTCAACCGTCAACAATTATTTTACAGTAGATAGACAAATGTAGAAATAATTGAAACGGAAAGCAAAGAAAGCATTGAGATTCAAAACGAATTAAAGAACCATTTATATAAACGTCGAGTAACAACAGTGAGTACGAGAATTCAACTCGAAGACGAATTGAATGTGGAAGTGTTGAAGAAGTGAAGCCGAAAATTGATGTCTAAATATTTGTCTCTGCGGTTTCGACTTTTGTACGAAAGTTCACAATCTGTTACTTTCAATTCACTCCCATTTACAACTTCATTTACGAGTATAATCAACATTAATACATAAGTACCCTCTTAAAACTAGATTAATGAAGTCTTACCTGTCAAAAATCTTAAGCAATGATTGATGCAAGAGTGATTTATTGATTTTTACAATAAAAAACCTCTAATTCTATGCGGATATTAAACCCAACTGCACGACATAATATAAGTGTATTAATGTAACCTCAAAATTTAACTTTTGTGAATGATATCAAATGCTCCTACTTTACCGACATCATGTAAATGTCGAATTGTGGCAAATAAAATAAATGAAACTATTCTAATGAATATTAACTCAAATTTTACGCTCTCTTGCCGCAGAATTACGTAAGTAACAAACAGAAAAACACGAAAACAATTGCCACGAACGATTAATAACTATTTAATTTAGTTGTTCTTTAGTTTTCAAATGTTTTAACGACTGCATTACTAATTATTCTGCTTCACAAAACAAAAGTAACAAACATTTCTTTTTACCTACTTCGCCAAACAATCAACACTTATTAATTAACAACACACACCAAAGTGTAAATTAAAAAATGCAAAACTAATAATTAATGTACATAAAAACAACTAAAGTATTGGTTTCTAGAATATAAAATTACTTTCATTTACGTATATGATGCAGATGAAGACGTAATGTGGAAATGCGCAATAGCGCAATCACCAAACCGGAAAAGAAACTCATAATTCATATCACTGTGTGTGTGTGTGCATTTGTGCTGCACTTTAAATTATCGGAAACAATTTGTTTCAATTTACTTCAGTCAACCACAGCACCGGCTGAATTGGAATATCAATTTGTCCATTCACAACGACAACTTCTTGGAAATGCAGTTTACTTTAAAGTTGGATTTGATTCAAATACGCAGTATATACATATACATATAAATCTGTCATTAATATTATGCATTGAATGTAAACTAGAAATAAATATAATTCACCACATCCGCTTTTATCTCGCAGGTTTTGTTGCTTGTTTTGTGCGCCGCCGTGAAGAAATTGTAATGGAATTGTAATGCAGGTTGCAAGCAGTGAAATCAAATCAACATTTGCAAACAGCTGTAATTATCATTACTGCCGATATTATTAATGATTTAACTTTTAGGTTTTGCTCAATATTACGCATTACACAATGTGATTTCATTTCGAAATTTTTCGTATTGAAGCGAATTGAATAAGTTGTTGCAATTTTGTGCATCGTAAGCTCACAGTAGGTGATTCTTTGAATAGAATTCAATAAGTTATGAAAGATTAACCTGAATATTTGCATAATTTTAGAAAATCAGGCCACGTTGTCAAATTTTACTACTGGGATTAAACAGATATGCAACCCAAATCACACTAGGTATAACCCTAAAATCTTCCACGCAAAATAACCCTAAAAGGTTTTCTAAAAATATAAATCTCAACATTTAAGAATTACGTTTGAAGTCTATCAATATAACTAGTTTGAAGTCTTGTTAGCGAGAAACAATCGCACAAAAGCCATCGCAATATCTCGCACGTGTTGTAATAGCTCAAAGAAAATTTCACTCGATTTCAATTTCTTTCTGCCGCATACGGAGTAAGAGCAGCGATGTGCGGTGGTAGTAGCAGCGCATGCACATGCTGGTTGTTAAAACGCTCGAAACAAACGAAAGTGGTGTGGCGACCAATTCGGCGCTTTTCTGCAAATCGCTATATAAACGAAATGCGCGACCGTGGTAGACACACAACAAGCTCAGCTTGCCAAAGAGACTTTTGTCTACCTGCCACCGTTTCTACAAATCACGCATAATGCAGTCGAAAACTTTGGTAAATACAAACAATTAAAACAAAACAACTCAAAACAACACATAAATATAACCAAAAATATTTATACGTGTGATTCTGTCTGATTTCAGTTGATTGTTGCCCTGGTTATCCTCAGTGTTGTGGTATTTAATGCGGAAGCAGGAGGAAAGAAGTAAGTTTCACTCAAAACACACACTTATTAGTTTATGCAGCATCACTACTAACAGCAGAATAACTGTCGTTACAACGGTTATGAAAATTATGCGACGTTGCCAAATTTAGTTGTGATTACAAGTATAGGCAACCCAAATAACATGTTACACTTGCATATTACTTATATATTTGATTAATTTAATATTGTATGTTTTAGACATCATAAAGTAATCATCCACGTTCCACACCACATCAAGACGATAAAACACACGCACACAATCTACAAAATCATCCACCACAAAGATCACAAGAAGGAGGATCACGGACACGGCCACCATGATCACCACGATCATCACGAGCATCATGAGCACCATCATCATGATCACCACGGTCATCATCACTGATTTTAATTCAGTTTGCGATTAAATCAAACAAAAAAACCGCTTGCACCCTCCTAAAACATCGAGTGGCCTTATGGTTGGACGATGCAACTGCATTTCGCATCACTTGTAGAAGACGCCAGCTTTAACCTATAACTTAAACCTCTCAAAAAGAGAAAATGCGATCATTTTTTGATTTGAGAGTTAATTATTACCTAACATATAAGAAAAATCTTGTTACTTCGTTGTATGAACATGTAAATATATTTTTATAATAAATTTATTACATTTATAGCTCCGAATGTATGAATATAAAATATAACCTTAAAAAACTGTGTTTAGTGAAAACTTTCACCGGTTAAGTACTTTTAACCACATCAATTGCTAGTTACAGTAGGATTAAAGTGTGTAATTTTGCTCAATCACAACAAAAAAACCATTTTAATTTCATTTTTGGATGTTTTATGCATAAATCAATGGCCAAGAACTTGAATTGAAAGTTTGCGTTCAGGTTCAATGTATTCCGCAGGTGTTTGCGCCTTGTATTGATAATAATCAATTAAATCGTAATTGTTCGGATTAATCGCTGTGACTAACAACCGAGAAATGCACAAAAGGTGTTTATGTTTGCTTGCATATCCTCAAAATGGCTGACTATAACCTAAGTTTAAGTTTAAATTTAACTACCAGTACTATATGATTATTGCATGCAATAATCACACAAAACAAGCGAATTTAATTACGCATAATTTGTTTGCTGTTCGCACTTTCAAATGCGCGCGCACCGGCGCACAAAGAAATTAAAATAAATGCGAGAATAAACGCGGACTAATTGGACGCTTAATTTTATTGATCACGACTGGTGTGTGAGTGTCTCATAAATTAAATTTTCTACGAAATTATTCAAAGCGCTGTAATTTTCATGCGAATGGGCAAAGAAAGTTACTTTTGTGTACAAATTGTAGATATTAAGTTTGCTTCGCGCGTCATTGTCAAAGAATAACATCAATTAATTAAAGAAATTGTTTATTGTAAACTAAATGATTATAATAAGAGTTAAGCTCATGCTCAGTGACAAATATTATGTTTTGTGTTTGGCACAATTAACGTTGGTAATATTTGAGGTTAAATTTGTTATTTTATTGTTGCAAAAAGCAACGATTCTGCTAAATACTTAAGTAATAATACTATTTATTTATGTTTTATTAAAATAAATGCTAAAATTGATTTAAGTTGTGTTTAATGGTCTCAAATAGTAAAAAATTAATTTAATTCTTTGTTTTACGATAGGCAACCAAATATGCACGTGTTCTATGTCTAACTACAAACGTGTTCAGAATATTTTCAATTAAATGTTTCGTTTTATTCGCTTAGATTCACGCTCGGTTGGTTTATGATACCGTGCAAAACTAGTTACTTTTTTGCACATCTCTTAGTTCAACAACACCGCTCCTGTCAGGTCAACACACTTTTATCCAAGAAATAATTTACTTTTACTTTCATCCAACTTTTTTCACTTCCGAATTTATCGGTTTTTCCTATTTTTTTCTTATTTTACAAACTACCATCAACACATTGTGAGTATTAGTTTAGTTTTTTCTTTATTTAATATTCTATCGTATAAAATAACATCATAAAACAACAACATTAAAAAACGAATTCAACAAGTTATAAATATAAACATTTCTATCAACTACTCAACAAATTTCGATCCGCAGCGAATCGAAACATACACAGCTTTTCAAGCAACTGGAAAAATCTAAAACAAAAACATTAGAACTCAACGAGTTGATGAATGATACTGGAATGATGTTCGAGAATGTTCGAGATACTCTCATCTGCAGCAGGTATTAAAAGCGAGGACTAGCAAGTTCTTTGATTCGATAAAAAAATCAGAAGTGGCGATGCATTAATACCCTCCCGAATGATCGCCATGTTCAGAATGGTCTGAACTCTCGTAACTGCCGTGGGTGTCGCCACCAAATCCGGCATAACCGTCGGATGCGTAACTGGACAACCCTTGACTGGCAGCACCATGCTCACCATACGATGAATGACCACCATCATCATGGCTGCCACCTTCACTTGCATCACCACCGCCATAACCACCGCTATAACCACCAGAATACGCCTCGTGACTGGCATGTCCATCATCATGTCCGCCATAACTTCCTGATGAATAACTGCTGTGTTCAGAATGACTGCTCAATTCGCTTGCATGATGACCACCGCTGAATGCATGACCAAAATCATGCCCACCGAAGTTATGCCCGCCATCATCATGAGATTCCTTTGCGATGGCTTCGTGTCCATGACCAGATTCATGCCCGCCTTCAGCGTGACCACCGCCGAAACCACCGCCGAAACTGTGTCCGAAATCATGACTTTCATGCCCGCCGGATTCATGCCCGGATTCGTGACCACCACCGCCACCTTCGTGACCTCCGCTGGCGTGCAACACCTTGCCGTGGTCGATTCCGCCGCTGTAGCCGATCACTTTGTAGTACTCATGATCGTCGCCGCCTTTCTTGCCGCCGACGTGCTTGTAGACAGTATGCGTGTGATGGATCTTGTGGATCTTCACCGGGACGTGGATTATCACCTTTTTATGGTGTTTACCGCCTCCACCGGCAACCGCCATTTGCACGACGTACAGCAGACACACTGCGGCTAGCTATGGTAATTAAAAAACAACATAACCTCACTTTAAAACCATTTTTTGATGATTTTATGATTAAAACTAAAAAAAAACTTACAGCTACTCGAACGAACATCCTGGCTTAGTTAGTAATCCACACGGGAGGAAGGAAGCTGACTTGTGTCCGGCACGAGTGTCGAACTGTGAATGATGTCGGGATAACCACAGACGCGTTATTTATAGGCGGTTGGCGTGCGCCGAAATGAAAGGGAAACTATCGCCAGCGAACCACGCACATTCGCTATAATAGAATATTATTGTAGAAGAGGTGCATTCGTGTTCAGCGTAAATGTATCGCGGTGTGGATGTTTGTGTTTGTGATTATCGAAAATTCCGCATGAAAGTCGACGAGGAGCCCTCAAGGCACACATGTCATACGGAAGAAAAAATGGTACACACCTGATATAGTTAGGCGTAGTAAATTAAATGCAATTGTTTGGAAATGCTTTCTTTTCTTTCATCTCGTTGCCTTTTCAATTGAAGTCAATTGTTTTATTATGAAGTTTTTTCTGTTCTGCAGGGATTTTTCGGTTTAATGGATTATTCTTAGGAATTTGTCATGTTGTTGTGCACAACAATAGTGGGAAATTTATTGTATATTTTTCGTTTATAAAAAAATATTTTTAACCTTACAATTCATTGACAACCTAACCTTTTTGCTTTTTTACTAAAAAACTAAACATTTTTCTTGAAATTTCGTGAAATTGCGAATCATTACTCTTTTTATTATACCTCCTAGGCAATAAGGTAAAGATTTTTACATTTATTAATCATTTTATCAAATTGATTGTGAACAATGCATTTTTTTCTACTTTCTTTGTTGATATTTCCAAATTTAATTTTTTTTTACTGAATTCCGCCATTTAACCTAACTTTTCCGATTTTCTTACTAAATAAATAGAAAATAATCATAAAATTTCGTTCGATTCAGAATTTTTATCTTAATTGCTTATTTTATCAACTGGATTGTTCATAATTCAATGTTTGTTTTCTTGTTTTTCGTAATTTTATTTTTTTGTGAATTTTGTCGTCTAATCCAACTTTTCCTCTTTTTTACAAAAATTTTCATAAAATTACATGAAATTTGGCTTGATTACACTTTTTTCTACATCTCCTAAGCAATAAACTAAACATTTTTATCTCCACTGCTTATTTTATCCACTGAATTGTCTACAATTCAATTTTTTCCCTTCCTTTGTTGTTTTTTCGATTATTATCATTACATCCATCCACCATAAAACCAAATCATTTATATTTGTGTCTTTGATTTGTATTATTTATTGCTACGTGCCGTTCGTTAAATCTACCTTCACCGATTTCTTGCAATGTGCAATCTCATTCTCGCACACAGCACACAGCCTCTCAAGACACTTGCTCGTAATAAGCAATGCGCAAAAAAACAAATATGATCGAGTGTCAGTATAAGAACGACGACCGCCAGCAGAGTTTGGAGAGTGCTGGCGAGCGCCGACATTCACGAACGTGAACATGAACTTCGAGCATTTCGAGTGAAAAAGCCAATATAATAATTATGCATTTCGTTATAATTTTACAAATACACAAGTGGAATAAACATTATCTTCAGGTTAATTTTATATAAACCAATAGTATAGTTGCGGTAGAATAAAAATATTTTGATATTTTTTGTTCTTTTATGAATTCTGAAAGAATTATTGGAGATAAATTTATTGTGTAAAGAAAAATATATTATAAATTAAATTCTAAAACTCGTCTAGTAAAAATTGTTTTGTTTAGATTGTTGTAAAACCAGTTATCAACATTTAAATTTTTTGATTTTCAACATATTTTTATAATTGATTTTAATTTGCTTTTAATTAACATTGAAATAATGTTATCAATAAAATATTTACATACACATATTGAGGATTTCGTAATAAATAAATCTCTAAAACAATAACTAATAAAAGTCGTTTGGTTTAAAAGATATTCATTAATAACTAAAACTGTTTTTCTCGCAAGTCAACCACGTCTATAGTATGTTATTAATAAATTATTCAAAAACTATGTATTCTGTATATTCTGTATATATATTCTGTATATATATTCTGTATCTAATTACGTTTAAACTTTGTTATTCATGCTATAGGTTCAAAAGTTATAAACAATTGAAATACAATTTTCGAAAAACTTCTAAATTACTAAAAACTTAAAAATTTCAAGCTTAATAATTGTATATAGGCAAAGATAATGTTATCAATTTATACTTTGGTACTATTGCTATCTTATAAGAGTGTCGCAACTATATATTCACCAAAATATAAGGTAATAATATGATTTTTGGAAGAAAACAACTTTCGCTTGCCAATATACAATATGCTTACTCTATATTCAATCACTTCTATTATTATTCGTGATTATTAAACTAATTTCGGACATTGCGTCGCGTACCCGTACCGAAATTGTTCAAAATGAAATAGCGCGCGCTTAACACACCGTAACGATCAATTAATACAATTACGGCGCGATCCGCACCGGCGAAATCAAAACGCGCTCGAACGTTAAATGCACTTCGTACCTATTATAACTATTATAAATTATAAATTATAATGGAGCGCGATTTGATAATAGAAGGTGAAAAAGTTTCTAATCGCAAACGTGAAATACGAAATGCGAAATAGTGAGAAGTGAGAAGTGAGAACTTGTGGATGGGAACGGGAGCTGAGCGTGGTGTTTTTTTTATTAATGGTATAAATATCGGAAGAAGGAAAAGAATGCGCGCATTCGCGATGTAACTTCCTTCCGCGCGTCAATCATGAAAGTTATAAATCAACAGTATACTCGTATTGTTGCGTGGAGACGTAAAAAATTTAAAGAGATTAAGCTATACAACAATTATAATGTAATTAACGATTAAGTATAGGTATCATATAAATAGAAGTATCAAGAATGTTGAGTTTTGTAGTTGTACGAGTACTTTTGTTGCGAGGGAACATGGATGATTACCAGAATGAATTAAAGTTTTGTCAATCGCATTGTTACTCATATATTAACATGAAACTAAATCAAACTTTAGCCTCTCTTCAAAAATTTGGAAAAAAACTAAAACAAACAGTTTTTTAGTTGGAAGAAGTTTTAAGTTTTGTTTTCAGAGCGCTTAAATTCTATAAACTATAATAAATATAGTAACAAATAATAAACTTTAAACAAAAAGAAGAAATTAGTAAGAAATTACCAAGAATATACATAAAATTTCATGATTCACATTCTTTGTCTGTTTCCTCGTATCTCTTAACATACCTATCTCTTGAATTTATATACAACTTTATTTACAATTTTATTTGTAAGGTGTTTTTAATTAAATATAAATAGGTGTCTCTAACTTTGACTATAAAGGCAGTAGTAAACTATCATAAAAACACTTAGAATTCACAAATCACATGCCTATAAAACTCCAAATTAATTTTAATGAGCTGTAAAAGATGGCAACGATGCAATTTTTTAACGCTTATCCTATTTTATAGCGCATTTAACGTCACCAATAAACAGTTTAGCAGACTAATAAAGTCAAACGAAAGTTGCATCTCACTTCCATCGTCTTATTAATATCAACTAGGCATACTTTACTAATACTTCAACTAGTGCTCTTACTTTAGTTTTAAGTCAGTTTTTTATCTTGCAAATGTGAAAATATCACATAATTTGCATAGAAAATTAATTTAACTAAGCATTTTTAGCGATCGGGCGCTTTAATGCAAAAAATTATATTATACAAGATTATTTTTTTACAGTGGTTCTAATGCCCACACGGTAGAATATTTCATCTCTAAACCAGATTAATTTATGCTAATTTATTTATAATTTATAATTTATTCTACAGTTGTCAATACAGTGTAGCTAAATATGTGATAGATAATTAATTAATTACACTAAAAATCGTGCTTAAAATAAAACTCGAAATTTGATTTGAAATTTAATTAGAATTAAAGTTGCATTTTGATTTAGAATGCAAAGAAAGTGTCCAGGAATATTACGATGATTCAGTTGCTTCCTATAAGTAGAAGCTATAAATATTTATTGAATAAAACTTAAATAAAGAAATGCAAATCAACTGGATGATTGAACTCGATTGTATTGATTTGATGTCTATTGCAACCCTAAAAAATTTGGCACTTGTGTAAAAACTACAAACTACAATGTAGTTTTTTACAATTTGGATAAAAATATGTTGATTGTTTTAAAGATATTTTCAAAGGTAAATTTACAGGACAGATTTAAAAAATAATAACCGTGCTCATTGCTTTGTTCATATCAAAAAATACTCTTTTATGCCTATATCAATGCTACTTCAGAAATAATGTTTAATAAGTTGCATACTTCCAACAGCAACAAACAAAAAATTTAAAAAAGAAACAAGAAATAGAGTTATAGTAACATGCGCAACTATCATAAAATTAAAATTATATCTTTCTGACTGAATACACCTGCTAATGCTTTCGCAGACGTAACTCAACGCAACACAAGCAAACGTAAATTACATCAAATTGATCCGCGGCTCCGATTCCGGATTTCCTGGCCAATTTCCCCTTATTTTTTTACTTTTAACCGCTCTCGGCGTGATATCTTCTTTTATTTCGCGTTTGATCATCATGTTATTACTTATTACTTCCCATCTTTCTGCTCAAAAGATCAAAAGATCAACACTGATTCATGTGGTCATTCACATTCGCAATCGCATTCAACTATGATTTCATTGATGATTACAAAAGCTACAAGCGAAACATTTGATGAAAGTAAAACGCGTAGAAAAAATCAGAAAGGTTAGTTTTTCTATGGATAGATACATAAATGACAGAAAGGTAATAAAATCAACGCTAATGCGCAGCGGCCAGCAGGGAAGTACGAGTACGAGTAAAGATGTGCAAAGAAGCGCGACGAACTTTTCTAACAAAGTCGTAAAAATTATGTTAGGAAATGAAAAAAACAACAGAAACGTAATAATTATTTAAAAAAATTAAATTGTCTTATAAACTGAGTTAAATATTGACCAAAAACTAAATTTTTGCTCCGCCCATTAAATATTAAAATCTGCTCATATATAGATGGCGCTACTAAATAAATCCTACATTTTTATTTATCAAAGACAGATATTTAGCGATTTTACTACTTTTTATTAAACGCAGCGACATGTCTGTAACTGTCTTTTAATAATAAAAATCAACAAACTCAAATCCGTCCCTGTTGGCTCATCATTTGAAGATCTAAATTTGCGCATTAGTCTACCACCATGACCATGTAACAAAATGTTTTTCTAACCTCTTCATTTTCACTTTGTTCTCATTAGACGACTGTTGCACTTCATGCTTTCTTCGATAATCTGTGTGTGCACTCGTAGCACGCTGTTGTTGTTCATGCTGCATTTACGCGCGCTGGCTCTCTTCGTCACAGACCACACGTGCACTCCGGTGCACCACAATTGTAAAGCGTGCGCATCATTGCAAAGCAAAGCATTGCAATGCAATTGTAAGCGTGTAGTTGTTATTCTATTCATTTGAAGATGTTATGAGTGCCGGCGCGCTTCGTCCGGCACGCACACGATGAGCGCGCATCGCACGCAACAGATCTATCCACAAACAACACATCTTGTTTAATCGTAAACGTTTAGGATTCAAGTGACATCTTGAGAGTAAATTAAGATTAAATAGCGTTGAAGACTTAACCTCAAATAATCAATCGTAGGCGTCGATACAGGCTTCTGTTATATTTGTAAATAAATGGATGTAAATTGAAGCACATTGTGAATAAATAAGTGAGAATTAATTCAATTAATATTAATAATTAACCAGCAATAAAAAAGTGACTATTGGGTGTGAAGCAATAAAGATGCGAGCATTTATTTATCATGATTACTTTTTATTGGTGAGTAAACCCCGGTTTTATATGTTTTATTTATTAAAATTAGAAAAATGCAAAAACAGCAAAAATCTTTTATGCAAACGAGATATAAGCGCAATTTATACAAATAAAACTGATAAATAATTTTATTTCAATTTTTAGACTATTTTTATAGTTTCCAATGTAATTCTTGTACATTGTGAACCTGGACCTGGCACAATCTATTATCGGTGAGTCTAACCTCAATTATAACCTACCACTACTCGATTTATTACCTAGAAATAAATTCTGAGTTATGCAGATAAAACTCGCGGCTAATGAATCACTGGCCCGCATGTATACATTAACATAAATCAATACCAATGCAAAAAGTAAACTATTTTATTCCTTTCTTGTATACCAAGTGTTGTAAACAAATAAAGCAAATAAAAACTTAAATTTTTAAGTAAATTTACTATCAATTAACAGAAAAACGTTTTTTGTCATAAAACTAAACAATAAACAACACTTTTTTGCATTTAAATCATTTAAACCACATAAAATATTAATTATTTTGACATATTTATATATTTATTATGCTTTGTACACCTTTAGAGTAATTATTTATTAAAATTTCACTTTCTATCGACAGTGAGTGTATCTACATGTATAGCAACGCCCGCGATTATGAGCGCGCATACCCGAAAGGCATCATGCCTTGATAAATCCCGGAAGTAATAATTAAAATTAAATTTGCAAAAAAATGCAACGTTGAACTCGAAATCCTTCAATTTGTGCGATTCAGACCGATTCGGAAAGAATTAGAAACGATATAATTACAATCACAGTGATAATACGGTAAAAACTATAATAATAATAAAATAATAATAAAATCAGCAAATTTCATGTAAATAATAAATTAAAGTAATTAGCAGTTAAACTTGGCACAAATGTGCAACAAATCGTTGCTTGGATGCACGACATATTCCAGTTTTTATGCGTTTTACAGCCACATTAAGTGCAAACTTGGTAAAAGTGATTGTGAATTGTGTCGTCTACGCGCGTTGATCAAAATGGCGACTGTTACCATTGCACAAATTTCATAAAATTTCTAATTAACTTTTAATTCAGTTGCATTGTCTCACGGTGAAATGTCACATTCACTGCTCACGCTACAATTTATATTTTAAAAAATAATGCACGGCGTGTGGTAGATAGCAATTAATAAATTCATTAAATGAGATTAGTACGAGTATAGTGTTGTGCCATTGAACCATGATCTGCAATTTGTAAACATGCGCACAAAGAACACCGGTGACCGGCGTACATCTACATTAACGCGTTTTGATTCACTTTCGCTTTTACGTTTATGTTTACGTTTCGTTGCGATTGCTCTATCTCGGGCATCTCGATATGCATGAAGTGTGTTTGCGATCATTTCACCGTGAAAATGTTGAATTAATGAAATGCCAAAAAATGTGTACTTACATGTTGGTTAGAAAAGTAAACAACTTTTGTTTGTTTCGCTGTCTCTGCTTCAACGTGGGTGTTCTTCATTTTGTAGAAATGTTAGGTTATGATGAGTAATCATGTAATTTTAACTCGTTTTATTAATGCTTTAAACCGATTTTCTTTTGTTGTATAGCAATTGTTTTGTTTTTACCGTGTTATGTAACGTAGAAGAAAATTATAATCGTACGTAATCACGAAAAGAGTTGAACCATATAAAATTAAACTTGCACGTTTCCACGTTTTGTTTCACTTTCATTTTGTTTAATAAGCATTTAAAATTACATGTGCAATAATTACATTTAAAGAAATGAACATCTTTATGTAGTCTTTGAGGTTATTATATTTTGTACTGCGTCCGAAAATCCGGTTGTGAACTAGTTTTAAAATTTAACCACAAGTTGTAAACAAAACACTACTCGGTTAGTGGATGTAGCATAATAATAATCAAAGTCATGAAATTTCAATTATTGTCTCGCTTAGATAGATATTGAGTAAACTTGAAAAAAGCTTACATGCTTAAATTATAGTAAAGTGTGGCACTATTGTAACGGCACAGATACATTTTTTAGGTTAGGTTAACATAACCACTGAAACCACAATGTCGACAGTTAATTTTTTGGTGAATTTTATGCTAGGTAACTTTCTAGATGTTTAGGCAACCAAACATACATCAAATAAAAGTAATTTATTAAATTATTGTATGTTATAGGAAACCAACGAAATTAGTTTTCTATAAAAGTTCCCACCGGTATTAATCTACCCCAAGAGAACAGATGATGAATTCTCCAGCAAGTCAAACAATGATCATCAAGATTCATCAAGTTATGAGAAAAATGGTGCTGATATTGACCATGATCATGATTTAATGCCACAAAGCGGCCATATTGGACATAGTTACTACACTTCTCCAAACCATATCGACAACCAACTTGTAAAATACGGCCAGTCTGATAAATATTTCCTACTGAATCCAAACTTTTTGGAGCATCTGATACAATCCGAGGAGAAATTCTACGTGAGAGAAGTGGAAAAGAAGCCGAAATATGATAACTGGTTGACGTGGTTGTTTGGTATTGAAAGTCACAAGGAGAAGTTTTTGCATAACCACAATTTTGAGCTGGGACCTGCAATGAGTTACGCACATTTTGCTGATACAAAGTTTCATAATGAACCTGTTTATACGTATCATCCGAAAAAGCCTTTGAATATTGTTCCTATTGAACACCAACATCATGAACTTGGTGATAATATTCATCATTTGCAACATGTTGATAGTATTCCACAGATACATCATCAGCATGATGATGTTAAGCCTGTTGTTGAACATATTGAAGGTGATATCAAGTATGATTTTCGGACAAAAACACATAGTTATGATAGATAACTGTGGAATTTAGAAAATTGTAACCATATTAGCAAAAATTAGAGATAAACTTGATGGGAGGTAGATTAGTTAGGCACGGATTTTGAATAATGTATATAATCAGCAAAAATATCATAGAACTACAAAAAGCACTCTTGATGAGAATTTTCAAATAAACTTTAAAATATTTGAAAAGAATAACCTCTAAACGTTAAAAAGCGCACCAAAACGTTTGGATTATGAAGTTACCATGTTATAACCCTTTTAAGATACTTTTGAAACAATTTTGTTTAAAAATCAAAGAAAATCACTTTTTATATAAATAAAATCATAAAACTTTAGTTTTTTGTCAAATAAATTTAATTAAATGTAAAGACACTAAATTGTCCTTTTACTAAGATTTGTATAACCAATTCCTACGCACGTCAAACTTACTTTGTTAGCACCAGCCACAATTTCATCATCGTCCTGCTCCACTGGCTCAATTTTAAATGTAATCCCAAAGAATTCATGCAAATGTTGCAGGAAATTTATCGTGTACCCTGTTAGAGGACCTAAGATTATTTTCGACACATCTTTTTGACCCAACGCCATTGATAACAGCGCTAAAGCTTGACTACACGAATCTGTACAACCGCCTAAATAAATTTCCTGCAGTAAACGATGGGCTGCAGCCGTTCCAATATCTTCAGGAATTGAGGGGTCTTCGCCGTTTAATTCAGTTTTGCTCACCTTTAAAATAAAGAAAAGCCATATTTGCAGATCTATTCAATATTTTCAATTGAAAATTTAATCTTAATTGTTTTTACCTGTTCAGCAGAATAAAAAATCCCTTCGGTTGTTTCCGCATATAAATTAATACCAAATCCGGGACTTTTACCGGCATTTTGCCTCTACATTGATCTGTATTAATGTAAACATCTGGTAGAAATTTTAGCAGCACACCTTTTGCAGTATCAACCATTCGGTTTGCAATAGCAGGTGATATTCTTAATGCGTACGCGGTTCCTCTTATACGTTTTACCATACCGGATTCTAGGAGTTGCAGGGGTCGTACAGCTTTTCTGATGGGACATTTTAGGATTACTTCACCACCTCCAAGTGGTGGCATACCTAATTTAAAACCAAAATGATAATATGTGATTTAAATCATTTAATAAATTGATTTTGTATTACAATATTAAGTGTTTATTGAGTATTTAATCATACCTCGTTTAGTAATCTTTAAATCCAAGTCCTCATCCTCTAAAATAAACTTTTTTAAAGTGGAAATCATCGACATCTTGACATGATCGACTGATGGGTCGATATTATTGGCTGTTACTCCTCTGAGGGTTGCATTTAGGGGTACTTTGCAGAATAGGCCAAGCATGAGCAACATTTCCAAGTAATATCCTTAAAAACATTATTTTTACTGATTTTTAAAGAGAAATATTCAAAAATTTACAATCAAAAGAAGGAAGAGTATAAATACTTTAAAAACCACGTTTCTAAATTAATATTATAATTATTTCAAAGGGAATTTGAGGTGTAAACAGTCTAAATATAAATCAAATTTTAAAATTATCCATGAGTCAATAAACTTAATAATATCTCAAAATCAAAACAAGTTACAATAATAAATTTTCCAAAATTACACACTAAAATAAATTCCTCAACTAAATAAACAGAACTTATTTCAAAACCAACACAATCTCAATTGTTCTTATCAAAACAAATCAAAAACACAATTTAGACTGCATTTTTCAAGTTTTAAAATTTTTATCTTACAATTTAATCTACTAATTTTTCCATAACAAAACACACTTCATATGAAATACACAATTGATGTCTGCAAAAATAATCTTCAGACTAGATCATGTTTATGATAAAATAAACAAAACAAAAACATAAAACTTGTAAACATGAATGTTTACCTATACTTCTCTGTTGATTGCAATCATGTTCAATATTGCCTCCATGCAGCAACCCAGGTTGAAAATAAAGAACTGTACCAGTCTCATTCAGTTCAATATTAGTACCATTTGTTAACTTATCCAGAAGCCTCACCAAACTGACTTCATATTCTTTAAGCCCTGGTTCATCAGAAAGCGTTCGGATTTCAATAATTCGTACAGGTTTACCACTCAACACTGACAGCGTAAGCCGTTGTCGCAGATTATTACTGCCTTTATATACAAGCACGTTATTCTTTTTAGATATCGCAGGCATTTTAAATTAATTAATTTAACTTTTAAAAGAATATAACATATCTTGTAGGTTACGAATGTAAATCGCACATGCTGTGCATGCTTCAACTCAGAATAATTCCCCGCAGATGGCGCAAGCTGTACCACAAAATTCCCGTAATAAACCGAGTGTTTCTAATAAAATTCAAGAAGACTCTCGAACTTTTCAAGAGGATAATTGCCGATTTTAACGACCCTAAATATTAATTATACTGTAGATGTTAATCATTTTAAGTATCAAAGCACCGGAAACCATTACTATCTATATTAATGCATTACATAAGTAAGTTTTGATGTTTTACACGAAGTAGGTACGTTGAAAATCTCACGTAACTTGATTGAATTGCTCGCAATTTTGCACGTAAATGTCGTGTCAGCTGGTCGTTGGTTCGTCTGGGTGCTTGAATGGCTTGAATAAAACACAAACCCATCGAAATGGAAACAGCACTCACTTGAAACCGCTGATCGAGTGCGCAACTTTCTACTAACAAACGCGACAATGTTCGCATCAGCTGCTGTGATTTTCCTTCAGAACCTTCAACAAGATGACACAACACTTAGCAACCATCAACAGAGATTCAACAAATTATTGCAAGACATCCAACAAATCAGCTACAAAGTGCACATACATCACCTACGAGAAGACACCGACCTAGAAACGACCTTAACCGAATTCTTAAAATTACATGACATAGTGATAACAATTGGTAATCTTACTGAGGAATTATTCACTGCAGTTGCTAAAGTTTACGATGAGCATTGGACTGATGACTGTAAAGAAACCAGCAGGGAAATTAATGAGGATTCTGACAGCAGTGAGTACAAGTACTTTCAGATCATCACGGAGCAACAGAATCACATCTTGAAACTACACAGGTTTTATTTTATTGAATCTGACTGTGTGGATTTGGATTTTACTCAGCTTTTGAAACAATTGAACAGTTTTACAAGAAAACCGGTGTATTCAAAAGTGTTTCACTATAATAAAAGTGATAAGAGAGCAAATGAGTTTGTTGACAAGTTAATATCTCGAGAAAATGGTGTCAGGTGTAAGAAACTAACAGAAAATGAAGTGATTGTTTCCTCAGGGAGTATCGAAGAGATAAATGCTTTGCATCAACACTTTGTGGATAGCTACGAAGTGGAGAACAGTTTTGTTCTTGATGAATATGAAGAGGAAATCTTAAATTCACCTTGTATATTCATTCAAGAAGCAATTCAAGTGAGTAAATTCATGTTTTGTTGGAAATCTATGTCAAAAATTCAAAATGGCGTCGATTTACTATCAATAATTAAATATTTTTTTAGTGTGACTAATGATATTCTCTTTAAATATTTGCAGTACATAAAGGAGTGTTTCGATTTGTATAAACCCGAAAACGTGTTTATTTGCTTTAACGGCGGAAAAGATTGCACGGTCTTGCTACACCTGATGATGTTAATACTAAGAACATACTACTCGAATTTCAATCGACCTGTTTTCTGCATGTATGTTCAATCAAAGAAACCTTTCCCCCAAGTGACGGCCTTCATAGATAAATTAAAAAAGTACTATAATCTCGATGTACACACCTTGACACTGGGTATTAAAGACGGTTTAGCTGCAATCCTCCAGGATAAACCCAACTTGAAGGCTTGTTTGATGGGCACGCGACGCAGTGATCCATTTTCGGCGAATCTGCGTCATTTTCAAGTGAGTTATAAACAAATTACATGAATTACACGTTAAAACATTAAGGTTTATCGTGATTATGCATTTGTTAGTGTTTATTTTCGACTTGTTTTGATTTCGTTGAGTATAATTGCGATTACAACGATTTATTATTATCAACAATGTGGGATTATTACATTATTACAAAACACAGTGATTAATCACATGCAATATGATGTGTTTTGAAATATTTTCCTTTTATATTCTTTTTTATACTTTAAATTACTTAAGAAATGCATCAAAAATATTGATTAATTTAGTAATACAATATGTAAACGAGTAAAAAGAGGAGCCACTTCCAGTTTTTATCATTTATCATTATCAACACGCGCGCTTTCATATTTAATTTATATTATATGCTTAAATATATTCATTATAAATTTAATATTTGTGTAATTTATGCAAATGTGATTAATTCGCAGGCGACTGATAACGGCTGGCCCGAAATCATGCGCGTCAGCCCGCTGTTGGACTGGGAGTTTGCGCACGTTTGGGATTATCTGCTAAGCTTCAAAGTCCCCTATTGTTGCCTCTACGACGAAGGATACACGTCCTTGGGGAACGTCGACAACACTCTAAAGAATCCTCAATTGCTGAACGAAGACACAGGCGCGTATTACCCGGCTTATCGGTTGCTAAAGAGCACCAAGGAACGAAGCGGACGCATGTAGTTAATAAATTGTGTTGATAGTAAGAAAAAGTGATTAAATTTTGATATAAATATATAAATATTGCAATGTTATGCACAGATTTGCATGGGTATTAAGGTAGGCGAGTTATAAAACAATTAAATTGCATATTTTGTATATTTTACAAACACTTTTAGGCAAAGTATCCACGATAATATATTTATTACCAATTATTTTAATGTTTTAACTATAGATTTTTTGTTTTTGTTATTTATAAGTTGTTTTATTTTGTTTATTTGATAGTAAATGAATCTATTGTTGTACTTAACCTTAAATAGTTTTATTTTAACATGAAATTTGTATTGCTGGAAAATTATTCTGGGTTTAATTGTGTTTAAACATGAGAAGAGTATAAATTTCAAAATTTCTAATTATCTATAGCATCTAAAGGGGGTGTAATATGCTAAAACATTGGAAACATTACCCTAATCCTTCACAGATAACCCATTTTTGTATTTTTACGTCCTTTCTGCATTTAATATTCATTTGCTTTTCCCTTGCCAGCTTTCCCTACATTTATCTTATTTGTTCTGCGCGTGTCCTTCGTATATTTAAATTTATGCTGACATTTATTCAGTGTACGAAATGTTCTCTTTGTTCCGAGAAAGGAAAAAAAGGAACAAAACAGGATAAAACTTGTGCAATGGGTTGGAATTGTCACTTGTAAATTAATATTTACTGTTATATACAAGTGGGTACAGTAGGGGAGATTATGACAATTCCAATGCATACCGAATCATACATTTTGAATAATAAAGCATGACAAGTATAAAACGTCGGGTAAAACGCAGAAAAACAAGACTATAGCAGTAAAAATTAGTATAAACCGCATACATACCTGGTTTCTGCTACCTCCGGAACATGATGCAGTACTTTCGGTGGCATAAATCACACTGGCGATCACTTCTAGAATAAAAGAACAAAATTGATAATTTTAACAAAACTTAAGTAAATATTGACAATTTTGTCACAACTAAATTGAAATCTAATATCATTTCATATTTAAGTACACATTTCTGCTTCCGAATTAATAATATTACCTATAGATGTTCTATCTTTTAGCTTTACTCTACTTTTCTGCAAATTTTGTTAATGTTTCACTTTTACTTTCTAAGCACACCACTAGAGGTCGCGGTGTGTCTCATTGCAGCACAAAATTTCACCCAGTTTTCCCACCCGCCCGCGACCTGGTGCGGGTCATACAGCCCTCGGTATTGCCGCCTCCAACGCCACTGCTGCCCCAAAACCTAGGTTCAAATCGTGCGCTCGCCGCCGCCGAACGCCAGTTGCGCACCCGAACGGGCATCGTTCAACAAGTCGCGCGCTCGCTTTCCGCGGCCGGGGCTCGCCGATCGACGGGATTACGGCGCCTCCGCCAAAAGCTACCAAAAATTTTCACCGAAATTATTTCATCCACATAATCTCACAATTTTTTCCATTAAACTTAAAATCATAGAAAAGTGACGCGAAAATGTCGTTGGCAATTCGAATAAAACAGTTACATGTGCCCAAGTGCAAAGGGGAGAAAATCATCAAAGTCGAATTTCGAGGTAAGCAAACAAAAATATAATAAATATTACACATCAAAAGAACAAACAACAATGTTTTCTCTGTAGTGTATTAATTAATAATTGCGTGTTTTATTTTTTCGTTATGATTCGTTTGTTTTTGTTTATTTTTGCGTTGTTGATTGCGATCGAAATAAAAATAATTGAACGTGGCAATGTTTATATCGATTTAATGTTAATTTGTTCTTTTAAACTCTCGTCAGCGTGTACAAGGCTTTCGTTCCGAATTTCTAGGTGAGAGCCCGGCTGAATTTTTAAACACTTAATTTGCTTGCTCGGCTATGGGAGTGTTATGTATTATGATTGATTTTTTTATACAACCCTTGATATTTTATCAAGTACGTGGTTTCACACATGGAAATTTGCATATTTTAAATTAATATCAACGAAATTACATATTTATTTAGTTGTAGAATTAATTTTAGTGTTTTTGCATAAAGTTTTGGCAGAGTTATTATGATGCTGAAATTTTATACATATTTTAATTAAAATAAGATAATTACAAGTCAAAAATACAAAATATTTTTGAAAACATGGAAATGTTAAATTTCCTTACAAAGAAAATTGATTGAAATGAAATTTTTTAAATATGCAATTTGGAATGTTTTAATTTCATATTTATATTAAAAAGTTGCTTTAAAAAGGATAATTGTGAAGAAAAATGTAATATTTTGGTTATTTTTCGTAAATTTTAAAATATAAATAGTAAAAATGACAATTTTGAAAATTTATGTCTTAGAATGCCTGTAAATGCGTGGAAATCTTGGATAAATTTGAAAATTATGAATGTTTTAAGCAAACGATGCAGAAATATGTATTTCAAGAATTATTTGCAGTAAAACGCTTTTATCCGATTTTCTTATGAAAATTAAAAAATAAAACCATTTTAGTGTGAATTCTTCCAGGAGAGCATAAATATTTTAAATAATGAAAATGAACACCATGTTCATTAAGACGCATTGCAACTACAATGAGAATAGGGCTTCACACGAGACGAGACTGGACGATACTATCAAAGGTATCGTCTCGGTCTCGGTATCGTCTCGCAAAAGCGATACGAGACCGAGACGATACGAGAAAAGTCTCGGTATCGTGTGAAGCTTTAAGAAGAACTCAGTTTTAGATCTTTGCAATTCAAAAGTTTAGTCATTTAATTGCTAATTGCATGTATTGTAAAGTAAATCCAAAATACATACATAGTTTAAAATATTAATTTTTAATTGCATCACTTTTAATTGAAAATATATTTTTTAATGTTTCAAATTTTTAAACGTTAATGTATACTAGGGTACAATAATCGAGTTGATTTGTGTTGAAAGTAAGCGGCGCACGTCTACAATTCCTAACTTACCCAGATGTATACAATATCTTTGCTTCAAGAAGTACAGAAAAACACAAAAATATGTCTCCGGATGTGTAAACAAAGACAAAATTTTCATAAAACTTTCAAAAAGTCAAAAAGCTCATGATATTCGGTTACTGACTTGTTATTTTGAATATACAAAAGAAATATTTCACAGATGGTCATATATTGGATTTCATATATTGGACCTTTTCCCATTTTTCTAATAACAACTTCATAAAAAAAAGTAACGAGACCAATAACGAGACCAAAAACGAGACTCGGACTGTGGTATCGGTATCGCCGAGAAATTGATAAAACACGTCTCGTCTCGGTATCGTCTCGCTTTTCCGAGACGAGACCGAGACGATACGAGAAAAGTCTCGGTATCGCGTGAAGCCCTAAATGAGAAAACCTTCTTAACGAAGGGGCATCCCTTAATGCGCTTTAATCTCAATTATCTTTTAATGCTTAGATAATTACACTCTTTTCTTATTTGAAATGTTCAGAAAACAATCAGTATTTATTCGAAAATTCAAAGAATATAAATTTTAAAAGCAGTAACAATCAAATTTAATTTATATGCATATTTGATAATAAATAAGATTACTAACCTTGAATATCAGCAAAATTAAATTGAAAATATGACAAAATGATGAGTAATATTTGCATGCAAAAGAAAATGTTTCGAACCCGTGTTGATGACACATTGCAAATGCGAAAAATACATATTGCAGTATGATGGAAGCGTGTTGAAAGCATGTTAAACGCCACCTGCGGCTGATTGCACCCCGTCACGGCGTTGGCTGGTGCCCGTGGCGCAGACAGCACTTATCACATCACAATTTGCATATTGCAGGTGTTTTCACCAGCCAAGCTGACAAAACACCCAAGTCCTTCCTATTACATTCTATCCTATTACAGCAGAAACATTACAAAATGTTGCTTCCTTTTAACCATACACATTATTGTGCATTACCGTCATGTTACTTTGCACATTCTATTAAGGGATGAATAATGAGTTAACTATGAGTTAATGAATACAGAAAACTAGTGAAAAATGGTATATTACAAAGCAATGTGGTTGAAATTCTTGTTTCTCAATTTTTTTTAATAAAAATGTTTAATAAATGTTTGTTGATAATTGATATTTGGTTTTAAAAATTTGCAAACAAATAAATATACAAAATGTAAATAACTACGGCTATTTTAGAAATATTGTTCTTTTACTAAATGCGTTTATTTTCCGAACAATAACATTTTTCGAATAATTAATTAATCAAACTGGACTGGAATAATGCAGAGTATTGCATAAATGTTCATTTAATTATTCAACTGTTCATTTCATTTGTCTCTTTTTGGTTTAGAGTCATCATACACGTATTGATACGTAATTAATTAATGAACTGACTACGTAAATTTGAATATTGAACATTTAGTTCATTAATATTATTTATCAATTGTGGACGCAAACACAATTTATGACAAAAGATGATTATGATTATAGATTGTTCTATTGAACATGTTTGAATGTATTAATTAATAATATAATTAGAGATATAATAGTATGTGAAGTTAAAAGGCATAAAACAATAGAAGAGTTATTTGCATCTAATTCTAATCGTAATATTAACTCGTAAATCTAATAAATTAAAATATTTTTTTTTATTTGATTTACTTATTTCTTCCTCAACAGTTCGATAGGATTCTGATAAATATATGTATGTTTTTATGTGCATTATTCGAGAATGTCTTAACAGCATAGTTTGATTCAATAGATAATATTTTAATACAAAATTTTCTTTTCACATAAATTACAACATTTTTAAAATAAATCATTATAAATGTTTGTTTTATTATATTAACAATAATAATAAATTAAAGACAACTTATATGAAAGTTCGTTCGTTATAAATAATTTTACCGTTAGTTTTTGATTGTAAAAGCTAAAAAACAATCAATTATTTTAATGAATATCAATTTACCTATTGTAATTATACTTGCACTCAAATGTTGAATGAGTTAAAGTGTTGAATTTTTGATAATTATATTCATTAAATAAAAACGTGTTTGATAAAAATATATAATTAAAAGACGATTCAGGAAATCATAGCAAATATTTTCATTGCGTTCACTTCTATTATGACAAAATTACCATTTTGCCAATCGAATTTCACCCGAATTTCCCCGAAAACACAATGAAACACTAAAAATGTCAAAGTTTACTACATAAATAATTGATTATAATATATATTCAATTTATTTCAGACAGCCAAACTCGATCAATCAACACGTTACCGCATAAAATATTCATTTTGCTCTGTTTTTATATTTGGGTTGCGCTTTAATTTTTAATTAATACTCCACTCACTCACAACAACTGTCAATGCTGTGAATGAGTGTAGCAGAACTTTTGTACATAAATTCTATTTCATTTTGATTGTAATCAAATCGAAGTTTGATGCGAATCGATTTACTATTATCATTTGTTGCTTTATTCATATAAACTCAATCAATTGTTTATACAGCTGCATTCAGAATAATATCAGAAGATATTTAATAGTTTCAGTTAGATATGCAGCACACAGTGCTTTTCAAAGTTCATAACCTTCAACAGATCATAAATTAGGTTAAATTAAATTAAATTTAATTAATGTCAAATGACCTTGACGAAACACATTCTACCACCATTAAAATATAATAAAACATTAACTGGTTGGTTGTCGTCACCGGGTGGATGCCAGCGGTTACTGGCGAGTAATTCGTTTAACATTGTAACGGTTAACGCCGTTATTGCATTAGCTCGACTCACCGAACCACCAACTAGCACAACAAGTGTTGTGGACTGTTGCGAAACAATAAACGATGCATCGGGCCACCTCATCAAAGGCACGCCATGTTGATGTTATGCATGTTGCATACCCATTCCGCATATAAAATACAGCACATAATAATATAATCGAACGTGCATAAACTCACAGAGATGAAAATACACTGTGTGTCAACATGTTAATTTACACGTCATATTGACGTTGGTGATATTCACCCTGAAGCAATTTCCACACCCCCAGCAGGGTTCGAATGTCGAAAGTGTCAATCATTGTAATTTCCTTGTTAAAATTACAGAAAAACAAGTGAGAAAAAAAAAATGAAAAAATTGTTGGAAATGCAAAAGATGTAAATTTGATTAGGTTGAAGATTGACAAAGTAAATATTGACATATTTATAGCGCATATACGAGTATGAGGGGTGATGAAAGGGAAGTATAACGGAAAACTGTCCGACATGGTCGAATGCGTGAGCAAACTTGCAAACTACCAAAGCTAAACACACAACAAACAGCCACATACAAGTTGCCAACTTGCCAACTTGGAATATCAACAATAAACATCCCTTTTAACGGATGATAGGAGCACAAACATCAACAAGTGCGTTGCGCAACTATTAAACACACTAAAATCAAAGTTTCAATGAAAAGTGAATTTTAATAAACGTTTTTTTTTTGTTAGTTCTTTATAGTTAATTAATATTATGGCGTGTTCTAGTGTTTTATTTCAGTGTGCGTGATTAATGTGCGTCGTTAATCATCGTTTTCATTATTGCGATGACTAAACACTTTAGGCGCTGCTTTTTCTAATCT